AGAGATACCGCGGCTCCGGAACGTAAGGGCACTGAAGGAACACGGATGGTTTTTAGTCAGTAAAAGTCTGACACTCCCTTACGCTCCACCCAGAGCGAAAGGGGTCATTAGATGATTTTCCATCCGCAAAAAAAAAAAGGTATTGCTTATGGCCAACTTGTTGTTCTGTCGATCATTGTTACGAGGTAACGATGTCCTTGCAGTGAAGTAGGTAATGGTCCAACGATGTCAACGTGCAGGTGTTCGAATCTCTCCGTAGGTGGAAATGTAGCTAGGCTACTTGATGTATGCCTTTGTACTTTGCATTCTTGGCATTGAATGTATTGCTTCGCCCAGTTGCCAACATCCACTTGCATTGAAGGCCAAAAGAATTTTTCAGTGATGAGTTTTCTTGTTGTTCTAACACCTGGATGTCTGATGTTGTACAGTGCATTGAAGACTTCGCGACGACATTCTTCTGGTAGGTATGGTCGCATGGTTGACATTGATGCTTCACAGTATATAGGTAGAGGCGTCATTGGCATTGTAACTTGTTTGATGGACAAGTTACTTTGCTTCGATAGATGTTTTATGTTGTCGCTATCTCTGACTTGTGATGTGGCGATCTTATGATAGTCGATTGATGTAGGGCACGTTACACTGTCGATTGGTATGCGACTGAGTGCGTCGGCGACTATGTTGTCCTTTCCACTGATGTGACGTATGTCGGTCGTGAATTCACTTATGAAAATAAGTTGTCTTGTTCGTCGTGGTGTTTCCGATAGCGATAGTTTCTTCGAAAGTACATATGTTAATGGCGTGTGGTCGGTAAAAACGATAATGTTTCGACCCTCGAACGTTTTTCTAAAGTGCTTGATAGTCATATAAATAGCGAGTAGCTCTCGGTCGAATGTACTGTAGTTAAGTTGAGTATCGGAGAACTTCTTCGAAAAATAGCCAAGTGGTTGCCATTTCCCATTGCTGTATCGTTGGAGAACGGCTCCTGCTGAGAGATCGGATGCGTCGCTGAAGATAGCAAGCGTTGCTTCATGTGATGGGTGAGCGAGTAAAGCTGCATTTTGGATCGCAACTTTACAAGCTTCAAATGCCTTCGTGGCTTTATTGTTCCATCCGATTAACGTTTTATCCTTTTTCTTAGTGTTGTGAAGGTAGGTGCTTGGATTTCAGCGGCTTTAGGTATGTTTTCTCTGTAAAAATTTATCATCCCAAGAAAACGCCTTAGTTCTTCGATAGTTTTAAGTTTCGCATAATCGATGATTGCTCTGATTGCTCTTTTTCGGCAGGCGGTTTGATTCCTTCCTCGCTGACGGTGAAACCAAGAAATTGAACTTCTTGTTGGCGAAATATGCATTTCGAAGGGTTGATTGTGATTCCGTTGTCCTCTAATCGCTGTAGCACGGTGCGTAGATGGGTTTCGTGCGTTTCTTTATCAGGGCTTGCAACAAGGAGATCATCAATGAATGCGAAAACGTTCTTTAATCCCAGGATCATTCTTGGAAATTCGAATAATCCCATTGGGGTAATTATTGCTGTCTTCTCTATATCTTCGTTGCGTACTCTTATTTGTTGGTAAGCTCGGTTGAGATCGATGGTGGAGAATATAGTCTTGTCTGACAGTTGATGAGTGAAATCCTTGACTCGCGGTATTGGGTAGCGGTCAGGAGTGATAATAGAATTCAGTCTTCTGTAATCTCCACAAACTCGTAATTCTCCGTTCTTCTTCGGTACAATGTGAAGTGGTGATGACCAAGGGCTTTTGCTTGGACGGCATATTCCTTGCTCAATCATGTTTTCGAATTCACCTCAGCCCTTGACTGAACCCTTGAGTACTCCTCCGCCGAAGCCAAACTGTCAACACGGGAAGACGTTTGCGGATGTTGCTCGAAAATCTTCACAACCGGTACCCTCTTGTGGTCGAAAACAAAATAATGGGGATGTAAGATCAGTTCCTGTGGTGACCCGAAACAAGAGAGATAATGACGGGTTTACTCTTGTTGAGAAGAGACGTCGGTCGAGACCCGTCTGTAACCAGCGTGGGACCGCCAAAATAAACGCAAGCACAACTCTGCGTATTGTGAAGCCTACCATACAGCTCTACATCTCCCGTTTGGACAAAAGTACGTCGAGAGAAGACGTCCTGCGTTTCGTGGAAGAACGAAGCCGATGCCGCATAGAGGATCCGATCTCTTTACATTTGCAGCGTCTGGAGTCTAATAGGTCAACGAACTTCAAATCCTACGTACTCCAAGTCCCTGCAAAATACAAAGAGACATTCCTTGCTCCCGATTTCGGGCCCTCTGGGGTAGTGTTTCGCCGATTCAGGGACGCGCCAAAGAAAAAAGTTCCCTAAATAGTGTTATATTTATATTATATATATTTATAGGTTCAGGTATATATTGCTATGGGCCAATGTTCTTAATTTTTAAGTCCTTGATGCCTGAAATAAAGTTATTGTATTGTACCGAGTGCTTCAAAAAAATGTATACACACTTTAAACTATTGTAGTTTTTCCGCTCTACAAGGCTAATGTTATATTTCTTCGCCAGGTGCCAGCATAATAGTCCCTCTATGTTATATTATCAGTTGGAATTTGTAATATCAACATGGGGGACGTACGTTTGAGTTTTGAAGAAAGTAAGCAGGTTATTAAGTGGTACTGGAAGTTTGAGAATGTAAATGAAGTTCAAAGACAGTGGAGAAGGGAGTATGATACAGAACCACCTTCAAGATTAACAATTACACGCATACGAGACAAATTCGAAGTTCATGGAACAGTGTGTGATGTGCATAAAGGTCATTCAGGTCGGCCTCGAACAGCTACGAGTGATGAGTCATCAACGGCAGTCTTGGAACTGTTTCAACGCTCTCCTAACAAATCTTCAAGGCAAGGGGCACGTGAAAGTGATGTAAGTGCTAGCAGCGTGCTACGCATTCTGAAGAGAGGCAAGTATCGTGTTTAGATTCCAAGGCTGGTGCAACAGCTAAATGACGACGATCCAGATCGAAGGTTGCAATTTTGTGAATGGATTCAGGAGATGGTGATACGTTAACCGGGATTTATGGGTAGCATCATTTGGTCGGATGAAGCCCAATTCAAACTTAATGTAACTGTCAATAGGCACAATTGTGTTTACTGGGGTGAAGAAAATCCTCACATTACAATTGAAAAAGCTGTAAATTTGCCTGGTATAAATGTGTGGTGCGGTTTGTCTTCAAGGGGACTCATTGGACCTTTTCGATTTGAAGGCACTGTAACTGGTATTAATTACCTAACAATGCTTGCTGATTCCATATTTCCTGCCATTCGTGCATTATACGGCAATGATGATTTTTATTTTCAACAAGATGATGCTCCGCCGCACTATCACAGGGACGTACGAGCTTACCTGGATCAAAATTTGTCGGGCCAGTGGATAGGACGCAGGGGGCCAAACGAGTTTCCAGCACGCTCTCCAGACCTTACACCACTGGATTTCTTCTTGTGGGGCACAGTAAAAGATGAGGTGTACAAACGTAAACCACGTAACCTAGACATTCTTTGGAATGAGATTCAAGCAGTGTGTAGAGAAATCTCATTGGACGTTTTGATACGATGTACAGAATCTGTGGTGACTCGTACTCAGAATTGTATTGATGCTGCAGGTCACCAATTTGAACAGTATTAACATTTGTTATTTATGTTTCATTTACATTGGACTTTCAGCTTTCTATTTTCCTGAAATTTAACTTTGTAGAACGGCAAATAAATTTTCTATGGAAGTTCAATGTGTGTATACATTTTTTTGAAGCACCCGGTATTGTATTGTTATGGTAGCAGCGGAGTATATATTATTAATTCCCGTTTAGGGTTGGTTAGACTGGCTGCTACATCACTCTCCCCCTAGCGAAAGCGTACCGGAGGCTTGACGACTCGCCCGTATCTCGTAGTTTTTAAAACTATAGGTAGCTCATCAATCTACTTTGTATGTTGAGATAAACGAGTTTTGAGTGCGGTCTTCAACGTACGATGCCATCGTCCGATTATTCCGTTTGACTGAGGATGGTATGCTGTTGTACGTGTCTTCTGTATTCCCATAGTTTGAAGAAGTTTGAGAAATAGGTTGCTTTCGAAGTTTCTTCCTTGATCCGTTGTGATGGTTTTAAGTGATCGAAAAGAGTAATCCAATTTTTATAAATTATCTTCGTTCTTCGGATACGTGACGATAGCGGTGTGTGAAGACGATGTGGCGCTGAATGATATTTGCGGCTGCTTCTTGTTTCTTTATAAGAACGTTAAATATATACGTCAAATTATCGATATGCAGTCCGCAGTATCTCAGTAGCCGGGGATAGTTAGGAAATAAATGTTTTCTTTTTTCGACTTCTGTGTTATAGTAGCAGCGGAGTATATATTATTTATTCCCGTTTAGGGTTGGTTAGCCTGGCTGCTACAGCATAAACGTCATTTATAGGGAGTAAAATCATAGACATAAGGCATGGACTGAGCTTTCCATGGCGAAATGTTAAATAACTATAAAATATTAAAATCCTGTAAGTCATAAAATATTGTAAGTCATAAAATATTGTAAGACATAAATAATGTAAGACATAAATAATTTCTTAAGTAATGTACAAGAAAGAGATAGATGATCATATGATAATTTTTCTCTTCCTAGAGAGTATGGTCAATTTCAGGCAGAAAATACTCGGTACATACCTTATATCCATGAGTGAAACAATATCCATACTTTTAAACTCAAAAATAAATTCCCTGTTCAATAATCAAATCCCTTCCTTCCTCTCCAATTACAAGAAATGATGAAATATATTCTTCTCCTACACAAACGCAGACACCTGTAAATCATACCATAATATCCTTGATACGAGACGAAATAAGTAATATATTAGAAAATTCAGTGAGCCCAGACCTCAAAGCTATTAGGCTGGAAGTAATTGGTATACAGGAAATTAAAAATAAAATGGATATATTACAATCTATGTACGATAAGCAACAAAAACAGATTAGAAGAGGCTATGCAGGAAATATCGTCCCTTAAAAATGAAAATACTAAGCTTCGCGAAAATCAAATAAAAATAAATTCCAGATTGACTATTACGGAAAAAGAAACAAGAGTAAATAATTTAGAATTTCATTGCATACCAGAAAACCGTGGTAAAAACTTAGTCAACACTTTACAACAAATAGGAAAAACTATAGGTAGCTATGTAGAAAATGGTTATATAGTTAAATGCACCCGGATCGCGAAGTGGAATAAGGAGAACAACAGTTCATGGACGACTGTTTTGGCGAAGTTTGCAACACCCCTATTGAGAGATAAATTCTTTGCTAATGTAATAAATTACAATAAAACCCATCCGTCTGATAAACTGAACTCTTCACATTTGGGAATAGCAGGTCAAAAAATGCCTGTCTTCGTGTGTGAACATCTTACCCCGGAAGCCAAGGCATTACACGCAGCTGCTCGTCGATTTGCCAAAGAGAAATCGTATCAATTCGTCTGGTCGCGAAATGGTAACATCTACTTAAGAAAAGCGCCGTAAAGTCATGTAATTCTCGTTAAGAACTTGGAGTTTCTTAACGAAATTCTTAAAACCATACCATTTAATATTTTTTTTTTTGTTTAGAAATTTAAAACATATAATATATTTTTAACTCAGTTACACTTTTGTTTGGTTGATGAACTGTATTAGTGTCTTTTATCAAAACATTAGAAGCCTTAAAACCAAAACTTATGAGGTATATAGTGCTATTTTATATTCGGAATTTGACATTATTGTGTTAACTGAAACTTGGCTATGTGAAAGTATATTAAGTAACGAAATTATGGATAAACGATACGTGGTTTTTCGACGTCACAGAGAATCTTCTATTTTGCGTACCAAGCATGACGGTGGTGGCGTACTTATTGCAGTTTCAAAAAAACTTAAAAGTTATGAAGTTATGAAATAGGAAAGCGACTACGAGGATATGTGGATTAACATTGATTTTAAAGCAGATAACCCAAATTTTACTCTATCGATTTGCGGTATTTACTTGCCGTCACCATTAAATTATGAGTGTCTTAAAAGCTTTTGTGATAATGTTTCCCGTGTATCAGTTGATCAAACTAATACAATATTAATAGGAGATTTTAATTTATCCAATATAATGTGGACTGAACAAACTAGTCAAAATATCTTATTCCTGTTAGTAATAGTGGCAAGATGAACGAATACTTTATAGATTTCATAGCTGAAAATCGTCTTTACCAGTTTAATCAAGTCCGAAATCCATTTAACAAAACTCTTGACCTAATATTAAGTAATAAAGAAAGTACATTTATAATCAACGAAGTTAAAGAAAGCCCTTATCCCTTTAGCCATATAGACAGACATCACCCACCCCTAGAAATCAGTATACATTTTACTCCAGTTTCACACCTAGAAACAAACATAAACGAAAGAATGATTTTTTATAAGGCAGATTACAGTGTTATTATCGAGGAGATAGAAAAAATCTTGGAATGAAATTTTTTTACATGTGGTGATGTTGATGAAATGCTAAAAGTCTTTTATTGCAAGCTCCACGAGATTATAGGTCGGCATATTAGGAAATATAAGAGAGGAAATAGTAAATATCCGCGTTGGTTTTCAAAAGACTTAATGAAAAGATTAAAAGAAAAAAATAAATACAGAAACTTATATAATAAGTATAAAAACCCTCTTGATGAAATATCGTTTAAATTACTGTGTAAAAGATGTGAAACCTTAATACACTCATGCTATAAAAATCACATTAAAAATGTAGAAGAAAATATAATTAGTAATCCAAAATATTTTTGTTCATATTTAAAAGAGATTAGAAATAATAAAAGTGAATATCCTTCTTATATGACATTAAATGCACAAATTTTTTCCAATGGTACAGACATATGTAATAGCTTTGCAAAAGATTTCTCAAGTATATACTCCGATTACCCTATAGGCAAAGAGAATAAGATTCCTAACATTCAATGCGTTGTTTTTAATCAAACTTTATCTAATATACATATAAGGGTAGAGGAAGTAGAATCAAAGCTTAAGAAACTTGACAGCAATAAAAGCGCTGGTCCCGACAATATCCCGCCTTTCTTTGCTAGGAAATGTGCAGCAGTCCTAGCGCGCGCGATCATATATAATGCTTCCTTGAAAAAGGATTTTTTTCCAAGCGCTTGGAAGGAGGCTAGAGTTGTGCCTGTTTTTAAAAGCGGAGATAGGACCGATATAACAAAATACTGGCCCATATCAATACTATCCGTAATCCCAAAGGTGTTTGAGGCTATTACCAGGCGGTCCCATAATCGACTGGCCTGATATAGTTCAACGCGACATGTCGCTACATGTTGTGTTGCATTAAATAGTACGTTTATCGTGCACTTAATATAAGAAACATGCATCGACATGAAATGCTTAGTCTTAGTTTAACAGGCATTTGAATAACGAGAGTCGCGTATTTTTTCAAAATGTCGAAAACTGAGTATCGAAGTGTCATAAAGTTTCTGTTTAAAGGTTTATCCCCTGCCCAAATAAAAGAACGATTGGATGGCGTGTATAAGGAGTCTGCCCCCTCCTATAGCACAGTGAAAAATTGGGTGAAAGAGTTTCGCCTCGGGAGAGAAACCGTCGAAGACTTTGGCCACGACGGTCGACCTGTGGAAGTGCTCACTCCCGAAACGATTGATCTTATCGAAGAAGAGGTTCTGAGTGACCGTCGTTGGAAGATTAGAGAAATTGCAGCAAGGCTTGGGCTCTCTAAGAGTAACATTCATCGCGCGATCCATGAACATCTTCACATGAAAAAAGTGAGTGCAAGATGGGTACCGAAACTTCTTTCAGCGGTACAGAGACAGGAAAGAGTGCGCTGCGCTTCGGAGTTTTTGGATCTTTGTGGCGAAAATCCAAAGACTGTGATCGAGCGGCTAGTGACTGGTGATGAAATTATGATCTTGTATCATGATCCACAAAGCAAGGCGCGAGTCAATGGAATGGCGTTATAAGGGTGAAAAGCCGCTTAGAAAGGCAAAGGTGCAACAACCGACTAAAAAACTGATGTGCACAATATTTTGGGATTTTCAAGGCATTTTGATGGTGGATTTTAAAGAACGTAATACAGTCGTGAACGTCGAATATTTTGCTTCTTTAATATATAAATTACGAAACAAGATAAAGAAAAAACGAAGAGGCAAGCTGTCTACAGGTGTCCTGTTGCTCCATGACAACGCCCCTGTTCATACCGCTGGTGTTTCGAAGGATGCAGTTCGTCAATGCGGGTTCACAGAAGTTCAACATCCACCTTACAGTCCAGACATGGCCCCGTCCAACTATTATTTATTTCCAAATTTAAAGCAGGACTTAAGAGGAAGAAAATTTTCAAGCGATGAAGAGTTGCAGGCGGCCGTCTTCAGTCATTTTGAGGATAAAAAATGTGATTATTTTTATAAAGGTTTAGAGATGTTGATTCACAGATGTAAGAAGTGTGTTAGTATTCATGGTGATTATATTGAAAAATAAAATTAGTTTCGTTTCATTTCCTTCATTGGTTCATAGTTAGGCCAATTCATAATGGGACCGCCTACGTATCTGTCCAATTATAAATTGGCATATGAAATCTAATATATAAATACTAACTGATAGGCAGCATGGATTTTTGAGAGGAAGGTCCACAGCGTCAAATCTTTGTGAATATATTGATAATTTATGTATGTCTGTGGACAATAACCTGCAAGTTGATGCAATTTATCCAGACTTCTCAAAAGCGTTTGACGTCGTGAATCATTCCATACTAATAAAAAAGCTTGAATGTTATGGATTCCACAGCTCCTTTTTAAAATGGGTGTTTTCTTACTTACACAACCGAAAGCTAAAGGTTGTAATAAATGGATTTCAATATGAGGCATTTATATCACGTTCAGGTGTGCCACAGGGCTCACACTTGGGGTCAACTCTATTCAATATTTTATAAATGATGTAGTAAATTGTTTCATGAACAGTGATGTACTTTTCTTCGCAGATGATCTAAAATTGTATAAAGAAATAAAAACCGTTAATGATGGAAACTTACTACAAAATGATATTAATAGGCTGGTCTCCTGGTGCGAGCTTAATAATGTAATCCCTAATCGCGAAAATAGTTACCAAATATCTTTTAATAAAAAAAACCATCCAATTTTTAATTAATATAATATTAATGATTATGTCATAAAAAAGACAAATGTTATTCGTGATTTATGTATTTTAATTGATTGTAAATTAAGTTTCACTGCGCATATGGATCAAGTTATAAAAAAAACATTGAAATTTTTAGGATTAATTAAACGGGTAACTAAAACTTTAAAAAATAAAAAATCCAAAGTAATTCCTTTTATGATTAAAACTACTTTTACGGATTTTATCGCGTTTATTTTTACTTTTTATTTTTAATTCCCGACGTTTCGGGCGCTTTCCAGCACCCATGGTCACGGGGGACTGAGATGACTGACGTCCCTATGTCATTGTTAAACCCGGAGTACCTTCAGCTTTTTTTAATTATTGTTTATGGTCCGATCTATGCAAAATGAACTGACTATGTCTTGAGTTCTTGCAGTGGTATGCTTGGGTTTAGTTTTAATTTTATTGATTATAGGCAGGCACTGCAAGAATTCAAGACATAGTCAGTTCATTTTGCATAGATCGGACCATAAACAATAATTAAAAAAAAGCTGAAGGTACTCCGGGTTTAACAATGACATAGGGACGTCAGTCATCTCAGTCCCCCGTGACCATGGGTGCTGGAAAGCGCCCGAAACGTCGGGAATTAAAAATAAAAAGTAAAAATAAACGCGATAAAATCCGTAAAAGTAGTTTTAATCATGTGCAATGTTCGCGTAAATATAAGAAATCATTATAATTCCTTTTAACTCATTTATTCTTAGTAATCTTGAATATTGTTCTTATGTCTGGAATCCACATTATCAAACACATAAATAGGTTAAAACGAGTGCAAAAGAAATTCATTAAGTATCTTTATTTCAATAATAACAAAATACACGGGCAATTAACTTATTGAAAGACTAGATAATTGTAATATGATTTCATTAAATGATCGAAGAGCGCTTATGGACTTGTCCTTGTTACACAAAATCGTTAACAATAAAATTAGCTCGAATAATCTTTTAGGTAAAATATCATATGTTATTCCTAGACCAAATTATAGAATAAGAAATTATAGTTTATTCAAAAGTAGGTATTGTAGAACAAATGTTGGACTATCAGCTCCGATTAATAGAACCTTAAAAACTTATATTATTCGATCTTGGCATATTCAACGATTCTTATACCAATTTTAACATAAACATTTTTATAACAAAATTAAGATAACCTCATGAGTTGTTGTAGAAAAAATATGTTTGATGCATTACAATAGATTATTTTGTTATCGTTTCTTCTTTTTTCAATAATAATGTGCGTTTCCTATTATTTTACTTTATCATGTTAAGTTAGCCTTTAAGTATGATATGTACTAAACTTCAGATTAATCTATAAAATTTGTAAACATTTTTTCATTGTACAATATCATATTGGCTTCCTAATAAATAAATAAATAAACGTAACATACGTAAGAAATTATTTAAAATAAAAATGAAACGCCTATCAATTTACGGCCATAAGCAACTAAAAAGTAGCTATATCTAATCATTAGTGCTTATTGTAAATAGTACTATTTAAATTATTATATTATTATTTCATAATAATTGTGTATCATTATTCAAAATTTATATTTTAATTAAGAATAAGTTATTTCCTATTTTGGTCGGACTATACCTGCCATGTTGTTTGCACTCCTTATTTGTTTATTGGTTACGCGGAAACGATTCGTGTATTTTAATTTTATTCGAGGGTATATTGCCAAGTGTTTACCCATCCTTTGACCTAATATCCCTTCCGTACACACTGAAAGGGGAAAGAGGGGAGTCTAAAAGGTGACGCGATTCTTTCGACCAATGAGAAGCGCGCCCGACCGAGGTGCTTGGTGGGAAAAGCCGAGACAATAAAGGCTCGCGCGCTGCCCTCGAGCGCCGTCTTGCCACGCGCCGCTAGTCTGAACCGCATCACCTGGAGCAGTCGCGCTTCAGAAGTAACCGCCTCACATAGTGTGAGATATCGTCACGCACCGCGCTATTTCTTCGCACCACTGGCCTAGATCGCATCTCAGGGGCACCCCAGAAGAACCCACCTCACGTCGCATCACCGTATCGGAAGCGTCGTCCGCCGCATCAGAATCACACCCCGGTAAGTGTGTTTTTCCTGCAATTTTGTTCCTACTTGAGCATTTGTTTTTTAGTTAGCTCAAGTAGAATTCCCTCCTGACCTTGGCAAGCAATAGATTGGGAAGAGCGAGTGCATTAGTTTTTGTTCGTGTAACTTGGGTCAGATTTGTTGCGCGCAATACTTACGTAGGTACTTACAGTGGTTTCATTTAAATCCCTTGTGTGTTTAATTTTATCTATTTCCATTTATAAGTGAATGTTAGTTATTTAATTAAATTCATTAATAATCAAGAATATAAAATGGATGTACCGCTGAAGAAAAAAACCTCAATCAAAAATACAGAAAGGAATGCGAAGGCGAATTTAATTGGCTAAAACCGGTGATGACCGACGATACAAAAGCATTTTGTTTGTTATGTCATACTAAAATTTATTCGAAAATTAACGACCTAAAAAAACACACTGCTACAAAAAACGTACAGAAAAGTGCGAATTTGTAACGAAAAATAAAAGGATAGATTTTTTTACAACTTTCAAAGATGTAGATATCAAAAAGTAAGATACGTTAGCCTTATATATTGCCGAACATAGTTCTCTATCACACATAGACCATTTGACCAAAGTTTTGAAAAAATTTTTTAAGGATTCACCAGTTGCCACTGATTTAAAAATGCACAGGACAAAATGCACGGAAAATATCAAATATGTTTTATTAACTCCACATTTTAAGCACAAACTAACAGATGATATCAGTTCTAAGAAAATTCAGCCTTATCATCGATGAGTCAAAACTCGTTTCAAAACTCCTTGGGACAGTCGTAAGATATTTTAGCACAGAGCAAGAATTAGTCATATCTTCATTTCTGGCTTTAGAGCCATTAAAAAGTTCTGATGCTCGTGGAATCGTGGCTGCTTTAATTGTTTAAATACGTTGGGATTAAACGTAAAAAATATGGTTGACTTGGAACTGACAACGCCTCCGTTATGACGGGTAATAATAATGCTGTCCATACCATACTAAAAACTGAACATGACTTACCAAATTTAGTATTAGTTCGATGTGTGTGTCACTCACTTCAGTTAGCCGTAAGCCACGCTTCAGAAAGAACACTTTCTAGAAATATAGAATTTCTCATACGAGAAACATACAATTGCTTTTCTCATTCTTCTAAACGATGCGAAGAATACAAATTAATATATGAAACCATAAATAGTGGTAAACAACCGCTGAAAATCTTGAGGTCTTGCGATACTCGATGGCTCCCAATTGAACCGGCCGTGGTAAGGATTCTTTCCCAACGGGATGAACTTAAATTACATTTCTCTGCCAAGTGATACACCGCAGACTTACGGAACGCAATGTATTCCGATGAGGTAAATAAATTGTATATATGTTATTTATATAATAAAATACATAAAAAATACATTATTTTAAGAAGTACATTGAGTGAAGTACAAACTGGTGCTAAAAACTGCGAAAGCGAAAGATCAAATCCACTTTACTTACTCAAAGAATTGATGGCACTTTCGTCGTCACTCACGTCATTTGAACTCCTGTCCATATTTGGGGTACCTTTTTGAATCCCAATTATGCCGGATGTCATTACCCCCTACGACGATAAACTCTGTGAGAAAACGTTCCATGGATTTCAATGTTAAATTGGCTAAGGAGTTGCACGCAAGGCTCCCATCAAACTACGTCACATTGGAAAAAGTGACTCTGTTGAGTGTAGAAAGTAAGGTGGGCCATATGAGTGTTGGCGATTTAATTCTTTAATTTCTCGGAAACGCGTGGCGCGGCGTGGCGGGGGGATATGTTGTTAGCTGCGCTGCTTCCTGGAAATTTAGTCGCCATGGAGCCGTACACGGGAGTGCATCGTGCATTCTCTGTCCGAGCGTATTACGAAAACAATAAATCAGTGATTACTGCACGACGTTTGTATCGACATGAACACGGTTTACGTGACTTAAGTGAAGTTCCGCTCACTTAGCGGTCAGCCGCCGTAGAGTCTACATCGCCTGAAGATGCCTCGTGTAGATTCGAAACACGTGTCGTATTATCATCGTCGATGGTGTGTCCTTCCTGGAATAGTGGTTTTGGGTGTAGTGGTGCTGGGACTAGTGGTGACGGGATTAGTGCACGCAATTGAGGGAGGGCGGGAGGTGCTCTTCAATCCAGGTAAGACACATCATTGTATTTAATTAAGCGGATGGTTGCGAATTAAACATTAATATCTTTATTAGAAGTTCCAAGCGCCAATGTGATACGGAAATGGATCAGAATGTTCGAAACAACCGGCTCGACAGTGCCAATTACGGCTCGTGGTCGCCCATTTTCTGCAAGATCAGCCGACATTGTGGAGCGTGTTCGTGTTTCAGTTCAACGAAATCCGCAACAGTCAACACGTAAGAGAAGTCAGTCTTTGGACATCAAAATAACGACTATGGGACGAATTTAGAAGCGTGATTTGCATTTGAAGAATTAAAACCAGATGATGCCAATAGCCGACTTAACTTTGTCAATTTGAAGCTCGAGCTGTTCAAAAATTTTAACAACGTGATGTATAGTGATGAGGCCAATTTTTACCTTAATGGCCATGTGAATAAGCAAAAATGTCGGTTTTGGTCCGAGACCAATCCCCGACGCTTGCATGAACGTCCACTTCACAGCCCTAAGCTTGTCGTGTGGGCTGGGATAACGTCAACCGGTATTTTTGGGCCATACTTTTTGACAACGAAAGAGGGCAAGCGATGACGGTTAGAGCTAACAATTATTGCAATATGATAACAGACTTTTTGGTGCCAGCTTTGCAAGAACTTCAAGGCAATACCTCGAGGATGTGGTTTCAATAGGACGGGGCCACATGTCATACGTCTAGGGTATCCATAGAGCTGCTGAAAAATGTTTTTCCCGGAAAACTCATTTCGAAAGGGGGGGGATATTGAACGTAACCCCGATCTCTCTCCATGCGATTATGTTCTATGGGGCTACCTCAAATCGGTGGTCCACGAGAATAATCGGACCAATTTAGAGCAGCTGAAGAGGAATATTATTCGGGAAAGTAACAAAATACTGAGACCAACTTTTCGACGAGTTTTCCAAAATTTTCAAATTCGGGTCTAAGAAAGCCAAGCAGCCGAGGGAAGTCATTTGTACATTATTTTTATATAGGATTAAAAATTCCTGTTTCTACTTCTTAAAAATACAAGTATATTTTTGTTATGTTTCATAGTTCTTTTTTAATTCAATATGAAACCGCCAACACCCTTATGGCCCACCCTGTAAATTGCGCCAAGATAAAGATAATAATATTTCTATGTCTGAATTGGCTGAAAAGTTGGGCTACGAAGATAACCAAATCGATTTGTCGAAATTGGGAGAATACTAACGACGACATAACGTTTTGGGCAGAAGTAAAAAAATATAAAGATGCATCGGGAGCACACAGATCTGAAGAGTTGTCTGATCTAGCTTTTTCAGTGTTATCATTACCCCATTCGAATGCTGAAGTAGAAAGAATTTTCAGCACAATTAACATTATCAAATCTAAACTAAGAAATAAAAGGTCAGTGTCAACGTTAAACAGCATTATGTTTTTGCAAAACCAGTTAAAAATTCTTAAGGCTGCATTCCCAGTAGGCAAACTGCTAGACGCCAACTGAGTTAGCGGCGTATCGGTTTAGTACGCCCTTCCATATATTTCAAATGGAGTGTTCACAGTTTGCTAGTTTTGCGCTCACTGTACGCAGTTTACAGCGTTACGCGCGCCGACTATCTTAGTGAGCGGCCGACTCCCACCAAAACCGGTTCCAGTCGGCGGCGGCGATTGGTTGTTTGCCGGGCGTAGTGACTCAGTTTGCCGCAAACTGATTATTCGGATAGTTTGAAAAAAGCTATCATCGTGTAGAGTTCATCGCACCTAACTAATCAAGTTGAAAATCCAAGATGTCCTTTGATACGGAAAGGTTCATTAGTGAAATACAGAATAGACCATGCATATGGAACATGTCGAGTGAAGAATACAGCAACAGAGTATTAAAGCAGAGCAATTGGAATGAAGTCGCTGATATTATATACGATGAGTGGCAAAACTTAGAAGAAAACACTAAACAAAAAAGGAGTAAGTTCCATTCTAATGAATTTATTTGTGGCGACGCACACATTTATTTATTTTATTTAAAGAAATAATTATTATTTCACAGATATGTATGTATACAATTTAATATTAATATTATAATATTTATTACATTTATATATCTACAATACAATTACAGTCACGCACACATATATATTACATTATTTCTATTTATTATAGTAAATTTTATTTTAGTATTGTATTATAGTATAATTCTCGGTGCCGGCCGGTCGAAGTACATTGGAAACAAACATTCGTTTTAATTATTATCAACACCGTGTACCTGAGTACCTTGCCTACGTCGCGATATGTTCAACGACCAGCCAGTCGCAATCTGATCGTGTGACGCGAATACTGTGCCGCTTGCGCCTACGCCGAACTTTGCCCTTACGCATAACAAATATTATTTGAGTGTTCATTCCTATTTTATGTTAGTGACTGTAAACTGTGATTTCTGCTATAATCTCTAATCTGTTTGTAATCGTATAATTTCGTATTTATAATCGCCTTCTGCTTCTTCATGTGAGACTGTTTTTATGTGTTGTACCGTGAAATATATAACTGTCCAACCGTGACTTATTTGTTTATTCCGGTGACGGACGGACGGTGACTTACCATCAGGTACCTTACTACCACGACTACATTATTCCCCATATATTATTTATTCAACAATATACTTGTATCACTCACTACATAAAACAAAGTATCATAATTTACATAGTATTTACGGCTTTACATACTCCGTTACACTATTTCTTCTTGTAGCTACAACTTACAAATATTTCTCTTGCCAGGGTAGCTTTCCTTCGTTAAGAAAATAATTTTTAAAGTTTTCTCTTGTTATTTTTCCAGAATTTAATACAGTAATAATTTGGCTCCTTGAACTTGTAAGAGTTATTGAGGTACGTCGCGAAATATGTGCATAGTGTGCTTGTTCTCTTGCTATGACAAAATTATGTAAAATACAAACAGCTTTTACGTTAGCGATGGTTGTATTCACATTAGTAGCGATCGGTGTATGCAGAACTCTCCATTTGCTTGTTAGGATGCCGAATGCACATTCTATGTATCTCCTAGCTCGACTATAACGATAATTGTAAATTCGCTCTTCCTTATTTAAACTTTTATTAGGAAAATGCCTCAAGATATGCTTTTGTAATCCAAATGCCTCATCTCCAAGAAACACGAAAGGTTGGGGCAATCCATTTGAATTAGGCAATTTAGTTGAGTTAGGAATCTTCAGAGACCCACACGCCAATTTTTTGCCAAAACCACTTTCTTTAAATATATTACTGTCAGCATTTCGTCCGCAAGCACCTACATCAATAGCTATAAAAGAACAGTTTGCATCTGCTACGGGTAACAGAACAATTGAGTAAAACTTCTTATAATTAAAATAGTTAGACCCACTTTTTGGTGGTTTTCTAATACGGATATGCTTGCCATCGATAGATCCTATACAATTAGGATAGTTGGTTTTTTTATAATATCGTTTTGCTATTTCTAGCCACAATTCTTCAGAAGGTTCCGGCATTTCCTGTGGCTGTAAAATATCCCATATAATGCATGCAGTTTCACTTATTATTTTCGATACCATCGATTTTCCAACAAGAAAGTCTTGTGAAATTTTTCTGTAACTTAGTCCACTTGACAGGAATCTGGAAAGAATATTGAACTACCGATTATTTCTGTTTCAGTAAAAGACCTACAAAAAAAATGGAAGGGTTTGCGCGACTATCACACCAGAGAAAAAAATAAGGATTCCTCAGTCAAAAGCGGAAGTGGGGCAACAAAAAAACGCAAGACACCATACTTGGACATGTTACACTTTTTAAATGTTTCTAGAGCTAGCAACCAGACATCTGGCAATATTAGCGCCGAGACGTCTAGCGACAGTAGCGCTATTTTAGATGAAAATGATTCTACTGACTCGGTAGTTAATGTCAGTAGACCAAAAAAGATGACTGTGTTTCAAGAAGCACTAATTAACTCGATGAAAAAAAAAGAGAAAACGATCCAGATATGAACTTTCTACTAAATATTTTACCGGAAATGAAGACAATGTCCCCAACACAGAATTTTGAATTTCGGTTCGAAGTGATGAAAATTATTAAAAATATAAAATATAGTGTACATAATAATTAATGCCTACCAGTACCCACATCAGTATGGCTATGCGAGTGGAAGCAGCAGTACACCAAATGTGCAAAACTACCCTCGAAACAGTCCATCACATAGCTCTACAGGTTCTTCAGCGGAAGTATTGGTTGGGCTGAAAAGTTCGTATGAGATGGCGCCACTAGAATAAAATCCATATCATTTTTAGGTAGTACCAACCTTCAAAAGAAACGTGTATAAATTTGACAGCTGTCTGATTATTAGTTTGTGAGATACAGCATTTTGAGTGAAGCAACTTTTGTTATTTTGAAAAAAAAATGGATAAAAAGGAATTTCGTGTTTTAATGAAACACTATTTTTTGATGAAAAAAGTGCTGCTGATACCAAAAAGTGGCTTGATGAGTGTTATCCGGACTCTGCGCCGGGCGAAGCAACCATTCGTAAGTGGTCTGCCAAATTCCGTAGAGGCCATATGACCACCGAAGACGATGAACGCAGTGGACGTCCAAAAGAGGGTGTTACGGACGAAAACATAAAAAAAACCCACAAAATGATTTTGGAAGATCGTAAATTGAGGTTGATTTGTATAGCTGGCAGTCTAAGGCCGGCCATAGACGGACCGCATGTTGCAGTCGAAACCGACTGCAACATGCGGTCGCCGCACGGCGATCTGCAGTTCCCATACTAAATTCATATCCGCAATACACGGACCGCTCGAGCAGTTCCTGAGCGGTCGGAGCAGTCGCTCTGCGGGCGAGTTTCGCCGTGCGGTCGACTACTTAGAGCTGCCGGACCCACAATACACGGACCGCTACAAGCGGTTGCTGCCAACCGCGGGCCCCCCCCCTCCCCGCTCGCAGCTGAGTACCCATCCCTTCCTCTCGGCAGGCAACCGGTTCAGTCCGCTCCCGCCTCACTCCCCCTACAAACCTCACGCACTCGACTCGCTTCCTTTGTTTATGTTGGTCGATTGTTCGTTTGTCATCCAAAATGGCGAAAGTTCTCGAAAATATAGACGACGAATTGTTTATTAATGAAATTAAAGAAAACGAATGTATCTGGAACTACAGCAGTGAATTGAACAGTGACAAAATAAAGAAAGATGGTGCATGGAGAGCCTTATGCGAGAAATTTGATCCTGATTTCAACGAAAAAAGTGTAAAGGAAAAAAATGATATTCGGAAGTAGGTACAAACATTTTTTTTATTAAATTTTAGCTGTTTAGCTCAAATATTATTTCTAGTAAACAATCTTAAAGCTGTTATCCGCGGTTTCTTTCCATAATATGCTTGTTATAGTTATATGCTATACTAATTTCCATTGCCAATCTAATTGTCCTTCTTCACTTACGAAGTAGTCAGCGAATTTATCGCGGATAGAGTTCAGCACTGGTCCTCCTTGCTGGACGTTTTGTTGCAATGCTTGGTCTTCAAAACCCGTTATTGTCAAACAATCTTCGAAGTTGTAGCCGTCTCTTTCACGCACAAAGTTGTGAAGAATGCAGCATGCTTTGACTATCGTTTTAGATAATTCAACAGACACGTTTAATGGCCGATGGATTATGCACCATTTGTTAGAAAGTATGCCGAAAGTGCATTCGATGTATCTTCGGGCCCGAGATAGTCTATAGTTAAAAATTCTTTTTTTTTATTGGCAATAGCTTTCCTCCAAAAGGTCTCATAATATTTTCTTGTAAACCGAAAGCTTCGTCGGCGACAATTACGTTAGGCAAAACTGGACCTGTTGTTGTTATTTTTGTAGGAGCAGGAATGTTCAGCGTGTTTCTTTGTAGTTTTTTGTAGAATTCAGTGTCTTCAAATACTGTCGAGTCAGCGTGTCTTCCATATGATCCAACATTTATGAAAGTGAATTTATAGTCACTGTCACAGACGGCCATCAACACTAAAGAAAAATAGTGTTTATAATTATAGTACAAGGAACCGCTATCAGTTGGTTTTATAATTCTTACATGTTTACCATCGATCGCCCCCAAGCAGTTTGGAAAGTTGGCGCGTCTTTGGAAACCACTTTTTATATTTTTCCAGTTATCTTGGGTTAGTGCTTCAAAAGAAATATCTTTCATATACTTTCAAATATTTTCGCACACGTCTTTCACTATTTCCCCTATTGTACATGCCGAAATTCTATAGTTGTATTCTAATTCAGCGAAAGTGCACCCTGTTGCCAAGTATCTGTAAAAAAATTTTTTTATTTCCAGCAAAAGCTCTTCAAAAGAAGTGGAAAGTGTTAAGAGATGGCTTTAGACGTTATGTCAATAAAACAAAAAAAATTAAGAGTGGCTCGGGAGCTATTAAACTACGACAGTATGTTTACTATCATCAGTTGTCATTCTTGTTGCCATTGACGGAGGAGAAAGCTGGTACTGAAGATAGTTTGGAAAATGAATCGACTGAAGATGCAGTTACTGAAGAGAAAATACCACAGCGTGGTCGTAAGAGGACTAGTACGTCCAAAGAAGACAATTTAATTACACAACTGGCGATAAATTTGAATAAAAAATACAACGAAACTACATTTGATGATAAAACCGATGATGACAAATTATTTCTTATGGCTCTACACGGTGACTTTAAAAAAATTTCTGACGACTACAAATTAGATGCTAAGACAGACATACTGAAAGTTATAAAAAAATACAAAGTGTTATCCTCTGACGTCAATTTATATTCTAATCAGACCTCATTACGCTCGCAGTTTAACTATCACCAGCCCTCATACTCGCAGTTCAGCCATCAGTCATCGTCATCCTACTCGCAGCCAAGCTATGATGATTTCAGTAGTGGCTACAGTACTGGACCTCCTCAAGCATCTACCAGTCGACCACTACAAACTGATATCACCATTGGCTACAGCACTGGAGTTCCTCAAGCATGTACCAGCTGACCACTACAAACTACGAGACTTGAAGAAACAGATGTTTTGTCTCCTGCTGATACTGAAGCAGTATCAGCAGGAGACAAAACATCTGTTTCTCAGAAGTCGTCGATACATAGCATTTTCTGATAATTTGAAATAATACACTGTATGCGTATAATAAAATTTGTGTAAAAAACATTGTTTCTTACCCTAATGTTACTGCGATCCTTTCTTCAGGTGCAATGCTTTTTCTCATTTTGGAATTTGTCCGTTGTATTTTATGGCTTAAAATACTAACTAATTCATCAAATGAAACCACGGACATTCTAAAATAGTTGAAAAACTTTTTAGCGTCTTCTCTCAGCTGGGGATACAAAGTATGAAATATTCCATGCTGTTCTCTTGATTGTAGTATTGGACGCACCCACATACTACGGTGTCTTCTACGCCTACGCTTGCGTAATAGTAGTACAAGAAGCAGCGTTTCTTCATCGAAATCCTTCTTGTAAATGAACTCGCATCAGTATTATTTTGCGGTCGAACACAACTGCTCCAAGCAGTCGTAGTCGACTGCATTATGCGGTCGTGTTGCAGTCGTGTACGACTTCAACGCTACCGCTCTAGAGCAGTCGGTCTCGACTGCAACATGCGGTCCGTCTATGGCCGGCCTAAAGATATCAAAGGAACGTGTTGGACATATCGTTCATGAATATTTGGGTATGCGAAAGCTATGTGCAAAGTGGGTGCCGCGCGAGCTCACAATCGACCAAAAACAAGAACGTGTCGATGCTTCAGAGCAATGTTTGGAGCTGTTCAACCGCAATAGAAGTGAATTTTTGCGTCGATATGTGACAATCGATGAAACTAGGATCCACCACTACACTCCGGAGTCCAGTCGGCAGTCATCTGAATGGACTGCACGCGATGAACCGAATCCAAAGCGTGGAAAAACTCAACAGTCGGCCGGTAAGGTTATGGCGTCCGTATTTTGGGATGCACATGGAATAATTTTCATCGACTATCTTGGAAAGGGAAAAACCATCAACAGCGACTATTATATAGAGTTATTAGAGCGTTTGAAGGACGAAATCGCGAAAAAACGGCCCCATTTGAAGAAGAAGAAAGTGTTGTTTCATCAAGACAATGCGCCGTGTCACAAATCGATGAAAACGATGGCAAAATTGCATGAATTGGGCTTCGAATTGCTTCCGCATCCACCGTATTCTCCAGATTTGGCCCCCAGCGACTTTTTCCTGTTCTCAGATCTCAAGAGAATGCTCGCTGGAAAGAAATTTAAAGCCGATGAGGAAGTAATCGCCGAAACAGAGTACTACAAAAATGGTATTGAAAAGTTGGAAGATCGCTATAATCGGTGTATCGCCCTCGATGGCAACTATGTTGAATAATAAAATCGAATTTTGCCAAAAAAATGTGTTTTTCTATAAAACGATACGAACTTTTCAGCCCAACTGTTAGAAGACATAGAAGCAATATTGCGAGGCGATTCAAACCACATTGAAGATGAGGAATGACTGGTTACCAACTTAATGTTACCATATTTGTTCCTAATTCAATTTAATAATACAGTAATTTTGAAAAGTGATTGTTAAATTAAAAACTATAAATGCGAAAGTGACTTTGTATTAAAATAAAAATAACATTTTTTTTTAAATCCTAAAGCGGTAATTATTTACTTACCTCAAAAAAAAGTTATAGTAAGCCGTTCTTCGGGACATAATGTATCTCTTGTGATATTATTTTTAGCTATGTACTGGGTGTCGTATTTTCTGGATGTTTCCTTAGTTCTGGGTAAAGAGTGTGAAATTGTCCAATGCTTAACCTTTTCTTGTATAATGGGTGAACCCAGCGCTTCCTTTTATCCTCTTTCAGCGGTTCTAAGATACCAATTACTTCAAAAATATCCATCGTGACCAACACAACCACTGCCTTCGTACAACAAAAGTAAAGTGATAATTCAGTCGGTCGGCTAAATAAGCGGCTAACTCTTAACAGTTTGCTTGTGACGCACGAAAATTGATTTGAGTCTGCAGCTAACTCAAATTTCAGTTCGCTGCAAATTTGCGGCTCACTCAGTCAGCCGCTAACTGTTTGCCTACTGGTGACGCAGCTTAAGACTAATTGCTTTACTTATCAGATACCAGATGAAATAATTGCGCAAAATGCGCAGTTCGAAGAAGTGGAAAATATTCTTTTAGAGATAAAAAAACAATTAACGGACTTGGAACAATCTTGTACATCTCAAACTGTCCATACTAATGAAGGGAGTGAATATGAAGAAGAGCCCTACAACAATATTTGACGACGACTTTGAGTTTTAGTTCTTTTCTAAATCTTATTCTTATATATATTGTTCGATTTTTCTTTGTTTCACGTTTTCTTTAATTAAATTATATTTAGCAACATTTAGAGACTTTTTTTGTTACTAAATTCACCTATAACTAGGGAATTTTTGATGGCAGTACAGAGACCTAGACTAATTCAATGTGGCAACATCGATCATAGATGTCGCTGGTACCGAAGTGCATTTTGGCGGACAGTGAATGCACATCGCAAAATAGTGAACGTTTAGTGTTTTTAATGTGAAAAAATTTTGCTAACGCTTTTGTTTGGTGGTGAAAATACACGTAAGGTATTTGTATCTTCTGTTTGAACTAATTTTAATTGTAAATGGGGATTATTACACTGCACAAATATTGATAAAATCGTATTCTAACCTAAAAAGTTTTGCCATCACATTTAAACGATTTTTTATTATCTACTCGTATTTGGTAATATCAATTATGCCATCTTACCCTTATAGTAAAGAGCCGTGGTAGCTCAGATGGTTAACGCTCGCTGTAAAATATAACGAACGCGAGTAATCCGGGTTCGATCCCCGCCGGCACCAATGAAATTGTTAATTGCAATTTTAAGTGCTGGTTTACCACGTGCTCGGCGGTGAAGGAAAACATCGTGAGGAAATCTGCATGTCGGAGGAATAAGAAAAAATATTTCAAGACATGTGAAATTCGCCAACACGCATTGGGGCAGCGCGGCGGACACTTCCTTGCCCTAAAACCCTTACAGAAATGAGGGGATGCCTGTGTCCAGCAGTGGGACGTATATAGGCTGTAACTTTACTTTACTTTACCCTTATAGTTGGATTAGTAGATAGGTATTTATTTTGTTTTTTCTTATTTCTATACAGAATGCCTGGCAATTACAAAATAACATCAGTGAAGAGTTAGTCACAAGAAGACATGAATAAGGCCGTCGAAGATGTAAAAGAAAATAGTATGCGTTGGCTCTTAGCGTCTAAAAATTTTAATGTGCCACAAGCAACACTTTGTCGTCATTTCTATAGTGTTCCAGTAAATCTTGGTCGTTTTAAAGCTTGAGTTCGAAAGTCGACTATTCAGATTTAATAATGGGTGGTTCAGGTAGAGATACTTTTTTCAATAGCCTTTTTTTGACAGATCACGTGTGAGTCGTGTCATGCTGTCATGTTATTTTTGTTTAGTATTGTTTGGCATTTCATAATGGAAAGACTTACGCCTGAACAACGTTTACAAATCGTTCAACTTTATTACGTAAATTCACGTTCTGTAAGGAATGTGTTTCGTGCACTTCGCTCAACATATCGTCGTTGCAAATTTCAAATCTCCTATGTGACATTTTTCTCAAAAATGTGTTTTACAGATATTTGAAAAGCTATTTTGAATACCCATACTTAGCAAAAACTCCCATGTGAATATTTTATTATATCGAAACAGCACGTATAATTTTTAACACCTCTCAAGTGTCAGCCAACATTTAATTGTAAATCAAAATGACCTATGTGTCTGTTGTACACATAGGAGTTTTTAGTAACAATTTTATTTCATAACATTGCAAATTAAATTATCCTATGTGATCACTACACTACAATTTCGCGCCTATTTTGTGCTAGAAAGAGAATACATTATTTCGTCACGCACGCAATAAAGTGAGATAGATGCGTCAAATCTAAACATTCGTCCTGTCAAGGCCATGTGTCAGTGTAGCTGCAACTTGTCGCGCGTAGACACTTTGTTAGCGTTGTTACTTTAGTAATTATGTCAAAAAAATATAAAACTACTGGCCGGGGTCATCGAATGATAAATTTAGTACTTCAATCTGAGTTTGCTGACGATAATACCGACCGTGTCGCCTCTGTCGCCGCCGCCGCATCGCTGAAATCTCCTCCACATTTTGGCGATTTATTAATTACGCCAGATGATTTAGGATTAATTAATCTTGAATCTATATCTCCGATATCGGAGACGCCATCACTGTTACTGTCACCAACAACTACTGCGGATATTATGCCAATCTTGTTCAGTAGTGATGACGAAGAGGAGCCGTTGGTGATATCTACTCGGGCTATCGTACATTCCAATTTAGAAGGGTAATGAGGTATTCAGCACGGCTGTCCCATTTCAAAACCTAGTAAGGGACACTTTTTACAAAAATCGTTTTATTGCATATTCTTCCTAACCTAGTAAGTTCCTACCCAATACAAAAACACCAGCGTTGAAAACGCACAAAAAAGCTGATATTTTAAAGCATTGATACCTAGTAAGTGTACCATTCACCGCCTCGTGACCACATAAAAACCTAGCAAGTTACTTTAAACATTTCAAAACCTAGTAAGTGTCTGAGACTTGCTAGGTTTTAAAATGGTTAAAGTGACTTACTAGGTTTTTGAAATCAAGTCCGAACGTGAAGAAAGAGAGGGATAGTGCACGTTGTTCACAGCATGTCACAACACGTGAGCGCAAGCATTCGCTTCTCAATTCAGTTATCGGCGTCGGCACGTGAACACAGTAACTTGATTTGTTCTTCATAAAAATGAATCGCCAAATGCAATTTTACCGTTCAAAAAAGATTGTGGCTGCCGCTAAAAATAACAATATAAACTATGATTCAGAGACGGAAAAACAGTAAGTTCATTATATCTAAACTATTTCTTTTGCCTTATAATACACGTGCACTGAAATACTCGTACCTATATAAAGTAATGATGCTAACTAACATTAATATTTTTCAACCTATTAGTATGCACGTGATTATTATTTTGTTTTTGGTTTGATAGACATGTTTAGTTTTAAGTTTACCAAGAGTTGTTGTTTTGGCTGAAAATGGAATTATTGATGTGTGCGTTATTTTAAAATTAGTTGCGGTTTTTTTTGTCGTGTGTTGCATTTTTCTTTTCTTTGCTTCAGTTTGTCTGCTAATAACGGCTCAGTTGAATTCAAAGCACTATCCACTTCATCTTCGCAAAATAACACTGCTTTAAAACCTAACACCTTAAGTGTAATTGACCCTGAAGAATTAATTACATTTAGCGATTTGGACGATTCAGTTGAAGATCCTGATTTTGAGCTGTCTGAATCTGTAAAAGATACTTCTTCTGATACTGATTATACATTCCGGGATTTCTTGGGTACTTGTATATCTCAATCTGCCACTGAATCTCTGCATCAAAATAGACAACCTGAAATACACTTCGTAGCTGCATATCCCGGTCCAGTTTTTACTTATAATGAACATGATAATTTATCATGTTCATTATAAGTAATCAATACAACACAAAATACCAATCCGCAATATGTAAATGCCACTGAATCAAATGTTACTAAACCAAATAAAAATAAAATAAAGCATCCGATGATCGTAAATATGTAGTTGTGATGACAAATGCCAAAAAAGTTTTCAGTTGAAAGTCGGAAAGAGATTTGGGATAAATATTGGGAACGAAATTTTGTATCAAGGCGTAATTTTCTCAATAAATGCATAACTATATGTTCTATAAAGCGACGTAAGGTTCAAATCTCAAATTCTAATTATTCGTTTTCTAAAAACGAAAGTCGTTATTTTTCTTTGCCAAATAAAGACGAGTTGATTCCCGTGTGCCGTAACTTTTTTTTGGCAACTCGGATATAAAACTGATGGCGTGATAACGTAACTTAGTAAAACTATAAAGAAAGGAATATTAAATGCATCTGCTTCTAAAGAAAATAGGGGTGGCAATCGAAGAAAAGTTGATGCAAGCATAATAACTGAGCACATCATGAGTTTTCAGTCAACTGTCAGTCATTATCGCCGTCACAATGCGCCATTGACTAAATATTTGCCGAGACACTTAACATTACAGCAAATGTACAAAGACTTCAAGCAGAAAAATCCAATTTTAAATGTGGGGTTGAATTATACAGGCAAAATATAAAAAAAACTAAAAATATCATTTCATATGCCTAAAGGTGATAGCTGTGTAGAATGCTTAATGTATGAACAAGAACTGAAGAATTACAGCAATGTTAATTCGATGCCTGAAAAAATAAGAACGAAATATGAAAATCATAAGTTCAAAGCTGACTCTGCTTTACAAAGATACAGATTAGATGGATCAAGCAAAAATTCAAATAGAGTTAAATATTTATCAATGGATTTACAAAAGGTGATTATTTTACCAGAGATGCCTGAAATTAAAGATGCTTTTTTTATGAGCCGTTTGATTACATTTAATTTAACATTTGCTCCAATTGAAAAGAAGTCAAGCGATTTTGCCACATGTCCCTTTGGCATGAAGCTCAAGCTGGACGAGAGGCGAGTGATATTATGAACGCCATATATGCTTTCATACAGGCTAATAGGGACATGGAGCACTTGTATATATGGACTGATAATTGTACAGCCCAAAACAAAAATTGGACCCTTTATACTGCAATGATCATGATAGTCAATAACTCCTTGAATAATCTTAAATCAGTAACTATTAGCTATTTAACCAAAGGCCATACTCACATGTCCGCGGATGCTGTTCATGGCAATATCGAAATGAAAATGAGGAGGCAAAGGAATATATATGATTTCCAGGATTTTAAAAACACAGTGATGCAATCAAGGAGAAATATAAAACCTATTGAAATCAATTGTAGATATGAGTGACCGAAAAAGAAGACAGCGGCACGTCTTAATGAACCGCTAAAGCAATTTAATTTGAACTCTGTTGTGCAAGTTGAATTTAGCACTGGATCAACAAACCTTTTTTATAAGACAAGGTATTACTTATTTATTATAATATAATATTTATTTTAAGTCTAGTTATATTTATTTTAAGTAGTTTGACTTTTTTGGCATGAACTTTAACTTTTTTTTCAGATTTGATGAACCCCTCCAGGAATTGGACTTCCTGGTGAAAAAATTTAATTGCACTAAGCTCCCTAAAAGTCTTGACACCCCAAGAGGCATTAAACAAAATAAAAAAGAAGAAATTATTAATAAATTGGTATGTTTGATGCCGGAATCAAGAAAATCATTTTGGAATAATTTACCCGTCAATGACTCGTCTGCCGATTTGACAAATGATGGACAAATGTCTGCAGTTGAATAGCCTTTTTTTTATAAATTAATAAACTTTTCTATTCAATTAATAATGCTTTTAATTACAAGGCTTTAGATTTACTAGAATTTAATCAATGAGATATACTAAGTACCTGTTCCGTAAAACCTAGCAAGTGCTCTTACTATGTTATGAAACTCGTTGTTACATGAACCTAACCATTTCATGTCAATTATCAAAGTTAGGAAGGGCTTTAAATTCTGTAATATACACATATATTAAAATATTGATAGTACTATATGTGCATTATTTAGTATTTTATACAAACAACAGTAAATTGTTTACTTAACATAAATACTTTTCAAAGGCTAACCTATTTTTCGTTTAAGTGCTTTCCTGTAAAATTTAGTTTTAAGCCCTTGCTGGGTTTTGAAATGGGACAGCCGAGCAGTGCAGCAAATTAAAATCTGAACAATATTTCCGTATCATCACAATCAGTACGTTCTGCCAAGCTACCATCTCCAGGCTTGGATGCCATTCTCTCACTTGAGAGCGATGATAGTGTGCAAGACCCACACTGGGTTCCTCCCTCAGAAAAAAGAAAACGGCGGTTGTCTGTATCTGACAGTGACAGTCCCATTGTTACTATTAAGAACGAGTGAGCCAAGCTCTTTAGAAAATATACTACCGACAGACGAGGACATTGAACATCATTTCATGTCTAAAGAAAACGTTGTGCAATTAAATAGAAAAGCTAGAGTTTTAGGTAAGTCCTACCTGGGATTTAAGAAGAGTGATAATGGAAAATATAAACCTTGTGTTGAAAAACCAAAAAGAGAAATCAAACCTCGATGTTCTCACACAAAATTGAACACCGATTCAAAACATAAAAACTCATTCTTGTGTGCATCTATTACGGAAGAAGATCGTAAAGCTATTCATTCATATTTCTGGGGCCTTAAAACATGGGCCGAAAAGAAAACGTTCGTGAGAACTGCTGCTGTTCGTAGATTAATTAGACGTCGTCGCCGCAAAGACCAGACTTCAATGAAAAAAAGAAGTGGACATGATATTTTTTGAACACTTGCGAAGAAAAGTGCACTAAAGTTCGGGTATGTAGACTGTTTTTTTAAATACTCTATCTTTAGGTGAAGACAGTTTTAAGCGCTGGACAAAAGAATCTGACACGGTTAATGAAGATCTTCGTTTTGTTGATTCACCCACACTTGACATCGAAAATACATCGAGTGCAGCACTGGTACCAAAGTATAAACACGTAACACAAAAAGTAAAAATTTGGATAGACTTGATTCCTAAAGTACCCAGTCATTATTGCCGAGCGAGTTCCAGCAATCTGTATGTTGAGTCGACATTTAGGTCTGAAAAACACATGCATGACGTTTTCGTGGAATGGTGTAGAGAACACAGTTACCGAGCAGCAAGCAGACCAACTTTCCTAAGAGTTTTGAAACAGGAGAATATAGCAATTCTCCATTCACGTAAAGATCAGTGTGATACTTGTTGTAGTTTTAAAGCGGGTAATATTTCACAAAACGAGTATGACGATCACATAATTAAAAAGAATGAAGCACGCCAAGCTAAAAAAGATGCCATAGAATCGGCGAACGAAAAGGTTGTAGTAATCACAGTGGATGTGCAGAGTGTCCTACTTGCACCTAAGCTTTTGGCCCGCTCTTTATATTATAAACTTAAGTTACAATGCCATAACTTTACTGTCTATGACTGCAAGACGAGAAAAGTAACTATTTACTTTTGGCATGAAGCTGATGGGGGCGTATCCGCAAATGAGTTTACTTCTTGCTTAATCGATTATATAGCAAACCTAGCGCCGGAAACTGAACAAGTCACTGTAATTTCTGATGGGTGTAGCCATCAAAATCGAAACCGGATTTTGTCCAGTGCTTTAAGTGATCTTTCGCAAAGAATGAATATTAGTGTTGAGCAGTTGTACCTGGAAAAAGGCCATACCATGATGGAAGTTAATAGTGTCCATTCAACAATTGAACAGTACATTAAACCCCCCCCATTTATGCACCGAGTGACAATGTAGCTCGAATGCAGCAAGCTCGACCAAGAAATCCTTACGATGTAAAGTCAATCCACTACGACTTCTTTCTTAATTATGAAGAACTAGAATCCAAGTTCTAGAGTTCAAGTCTATAAGACCAGGTAAGAAAAAAGGTGATCCAGTTGTGGTCGATATACGAGGACTGAATACTTGTCAGATGGGTCTGTCTTATGTAAATTGCGACATCCTGACGAATGGACCATTCTATCACAGCGAAGAGCTAGTCGTGAAAGTTTACTACCACAGCAACTATATCAACAGCCCCTCAAAATCACAGAAAGCAAATACAAACATTTGCAAGAATTAAAAAGTGTGATTGATAAAGATTATCATCCGTTTTATGACTCGATCTCGTTTAACCCAGGAACATAAACACAAAAGATTAATTATAATTTGGTTCAGTAGGTACATAATGTACAAGATTTTGTCAAACTGTGAAAATAGTAATTAAAGATAATTATTGTTTTTGCATATCTGATTTAATAAACACGAAATAATAATGATAGTACCTAGTTTCATTTCAATAATAATGTTTTATTATTCTATAGAAACCACCTATGTGACAAAAAGTTGCAATTTTAAATCTCCCATGTGTAGAAAAATAATTAAACATATAACATACATAAACACTCACGCCTGTCACCCAGAGGGGTAGGCAGAGACTACGGACTTTCATTTGGCACGATCCTGACATACCTCTTTCGCCTCCTTTACATCCATATATCTACGCATACATGCTCGATAATAATAAAAAATAATTAAAATTATATAATTAGTCCATTTAACGTATGATATAAAATTATTTATATTTCAATACATTGGAACCACTTTGTTTTTCTTTATAACCGAGGGAATAAAAATATTTTCTAAGATTTTTTTGTAGCAGGAAGTTAATTTCGTTTTTCTCGAAAAGTTACTTTTTACACATAGGAGATTTGAAATTTGCAACGACGATATGGTCAACATAATCGGCCTACTGAGCGTACTATTCGCAACACGCAACGATAATATTGACTGAATAGATCACGTCCAGCACGCTGTGAAGACCGTACCGGCCGTAGCTGAGTGTACACGAAGACCGTGGAGAGTCGATTCGGCGCCGTTCGCAGCAACTCGGACTGACGTATGGAACGACTTGGCGCATTTTTCGTCGAGATCTTAAATTGAAAGCGTACAAAATACAGCTTGTGCAACAACTGAAACCGCTCAACCTTCCCAAGCGACTTCGCTTCGCTCTATGGGCTCTTGAAAAGTTCCAAGAAGATCAGATGTTTTAGAGGCAAATTTTGTTTAGCGATGAGGCCCATTTTAATGGGTATGTAAACAAACAAAATTGCCGCATTTGGGACGAAGAGTAACCTGAGGAGATTCAAGAACTGCCACTTCATCCAGAAAAAACAACGGTTTGGTGTGATTTGTGGGCCGGTGGAATCATCAGTCCACATTTCTTTAAAAATGATGCCGGTGCGAACGTAACCGTCAATGGCGACCGTTATCGTGCTATGATAACCGACTATTTGATGCCTGAAATTGAAGTTCGTGATCTCGGCGCCATTTGGTTTCAGCAAGACGGCGCCACTTCCCCCACATCGCATCAATCAATGGATTTATTGAGAGAACATTTCGGTGAGCACATAATTTCACGTTTTGGGCCGGTCGATTGGCCACCAAGATCGTGTGATATCACACCGTTAGACTTTTTCCTGGGGATATGTAAAGTCTAAAGTTTATGCGGACAAACCAGCTTCGATTCAGGCCTTGGAGGAAAACATCACGCGTGTCATTCGCCAGTTACCAGTCGAAATGCTCGAACGAGTCATCGAAAATTGGACTCAACGGATGGACCATCTGCGACGTAGCAACGGCCAACATTTGATAGACATAATCTTCAAAAAATAAATGCCAAAGAATGTTCTTTCAAATGATAATAAACGTTCTCCATTAAATTTGAATTTTCTTTGTTTTTTTCTTTAAAAAAGTAGGGAACCTCGAAAATAATCACGCCTTACAACCAAAATAAGAAAATTTCTATAAAGTTTAGGGGGCTGGATCAAAGATTTGATAAGAATGAAAAAATAGCTGGGATTGGTTAAAAGGGTTTAGAGAAAGCAATCCTAAATCCTAAATCCAAAATCTCACTCAGAGCTCCGGAGCCGACGTCTGCAGCTAGGGCAAAGGCATTCAATAAACCTCAAGTAATGATGTTTTTCTCTCTTCGAAAAAGAACAGTGACAGACAATGAAATTCAGGCACATAGAATCACAAAACGGACGAATCTGGACTGACCACTGTTCGAAAGCCCCTCGAAGTCTTTGCATCCAAACGGAAAAAAAGGTCGGTTCTATAACTAGTGATGAACGGAATCAAATTTTCACGAATTGTTGTCCGTATTATTGCCATCGGTAATTATGTTCCACCTACAGTTTATTTTCCACTATTTATTATTATTGCTCCACTAGGTACTTTACAGCTGTGCAACCCCGTATATGATTGGGAACTTATTTGTAAGGCGGACGCGCCACTTTATTGCTTTTGTTAATGTTTCTGTAACTAACACGGTGCTGCTAATCCTAGATGGTCACTCCAGCTACAAAAATCTGGACGCACTTGATTTTGCCACGGCCAACGGCATGATATTGCTTTGTCTTTCAACACATTGCACGCACCGAATGCAGCCGATTGATGTATCATTTTTGGTCCACTGAAAGCGTATTATGACCGCGAGATGGCAACCTAGATGAAGAATCATCCTGGCAGAACCGTATGCCTATACCAAGTTGCTCAGATATATGCCTATACCAAGTTGCTCAGATATTTTGAAGAGTTTACGAAAATGTAACTACCGTTAGAAATATAACAAGCGGTTTTGAAAAAATTTATCCCTTCAATCCAAACATTTTCCCAGATGACATATATTTACCTAGCGAAGTTACCGAAAACGAATTAAACAGTGAGGAACAGATTGCTAGTAGTTTATCACAGATCCAGCAAAATCAGGATGAATCAAATTCCTTAGAATCAATGACGCAGAAGTACAATTACAAAGAAATATTTAGAAATTCTTAACTCTCACGGCCAAAAAAATTTTGAGGTTGATGCTACTTTTAGAGAAGTAGAAACTCATCACTTGTCTCCTACAATTTTGTAACCAAATTTTGATACGCATTTGCTTCTACATGACACCGCTGCTCCGAACAAAGACGCTATTCCTCAATAATCTGAAAATACTCCACTATCTCTGAAACAGTTGTCAGAAAGTGTTGTTATGAATTTGTTACAAGATCAAGACGTTAATATTTTATCTCTCCAGCCAATGCTTCTAGAATCTGATCCTAAGAATACCAAAGAACAGATAGAATAGATGAATGTCATTGCTCCAAAAAATAGCTATCAAAGGCCGACGATGTAGCTGTTCCAGAAACTTTGTGAAAATGATATAGAATCATAGAATACTATAATACATACTGTGGCCTTCTTCATAATAGAACAGGGGAGTGGGCGGAGCCCTTGTAGCCACCAACATGTCACTAACATGTCAATTCACACCTATAAATGTCAACACAATCAATCGTTTCCAAGTTTCGTGACCCTTTACCTCATAGTGTGACAAACTTGGAACACTAACAATTTTATGTTATTTATAACACTTAACGCCTTCTGTGATCGTACATAAAAATTTATTTATTTCTGTGGGGGAGTAGCCTATCTCAATACATAAAAAAAGCGCACCTACAGGGACGCATTCGAACTAAAAACAACCTTTACGTCAGTTGATCGTGTCGATTCAAGCAAGTGAAAAGTTGTAGTTTTTCGATGTTCTTTTTTTCGGTTCTTGGTTACGTTTTAAAATAAAACTGTTAATTTACCATAAGGAACGATGGATCCACTACATTTTTACGGCAAAACACGTAAGTAAAACAATAGCGTACTATATATTTTTTTCAATCCAAAATTGTTCCATATTTGGAACAACATGCTATTACGACAATTTTAGCTGAGACAAATCTGGAACAATATGCACTAACATATGAAACTTATCAGTTCCATATATGGAACGTTATGCCTTCTGGTAATATTTCAATTAAGACATGATATTATTTTATTGTATTATGGTATTTATGAACCTAATAAAACAAGATTAGAAAGAAAGTCTGTACTTTAAAATGTTTGAAATATTGAATCGGACAAGTCACTGATTTATTTAACACGCGAGTACACGCGCGGGCTACATATGTGGCCCAGGGTATTGTTTTTGTTCATAACTTCACGAAATCGTGTGATTTAACTTTGAGCCTCCAGCTAAGCTCCGATTGGTTATTGCTCGACGGGTTTAGTGTGGCGTGAGCGCTCGACGCTGGCGCACGTGCGAGTAATAACGATTTAAAGTTATTGGGCTACGTATGTAGATCACGCGTGCACTAGCGGAACTTTTGAGGTGTGAAATATTTTTTTAATTAACATATAAGACATGACATGACATAGAAAGATAAATATCATTCTATTCAAAACGTTAGTATTATATTTATACTTATAAAATGTAAACTTACTTTTTGTTGATATTTGAGAAACAGATCGGAAATATGGACCGCAGAATGTAAGAAAATATGTTGAGATGGCTAGAAGAGAAGTCAGATGAGGATGATTTGATTGTAAGCGAACAGGAAAGAGGATTTGAGGGAAGAAGAAAATACAATTCCTTCTCCGCATAGCTCTGACACAGAGCAAGAAAATGACGAAAATGATGGGATTGCTGGACAAAACAACAGTGATTCGGATGACAGTGTACCGCTTGCAGATTTAGCCACTTATAAGTCACGAAATGAAACAGAATGGAGGAAACGTTCATTTCCTGCAACAAGGGTACGTTCTCACAACATTATACAAAGACCTTTAGGACCAAAGGGTGCTGCTTGTAATGCCAGCACACCTCTTCAATGTTTCGAGTTATTTTTTGACCCTGATGTTTTTGAATCCTTGGTAAATTGTATAAATATTAATTAATAACTATAAAAACAATATACCAAAGAGAACGAGATGCGAAGCCTACGAATCTTACTGAAATGAGAGCGTTTGTTGAGTTACTTATAGGTCAGGATCAGGATCTAAAAATCTTACTTTTGGGACAACTCCATTGGGACCGGCTTTGAACTGGTCTATTTTTTTGCGCCCGAAGCAATTAAAGGGCTACCCTATACGTAGGGAGGCGGAAAATGCATTACGCATACCACGATAGCCGGTCTATCGTGGTTATGAGGGACTCACATCCTACCGAGGACCCTAAGTAATACCCTTTAAAAACCGCCTTTGGGGACAGGCAACCGGCTGATTAAGCTTTATTGTGCCTTATCGTGAGCGACCCTCTTTTGGGAAAAGAGGGCGCAGGCGGCTACGAGCCGCTGAGGGAGTGCCTACGAAGGCAAATTAATTATGAGTAAATAATTTAATTTAATTAGAGTCGGCCTGAGCCGCCAGGAGGCAGTTTAGGTCGTTTGTTAGTTTATGAGGCGGGTCCGAGAGAGGTTTCTCGGCCTGCGGACTCGATAGCGAGAGGGGGGTGGGGCTGCATAAGTAGCTGCCTCACGAATTAATTGGTTTGAGTGCGACTCTGAGGCTTTGAAGAAGTTCTCAGAGAGTTTTTGAAGAAATTGTTGAATTGTGGGGAGCTCTAGGTCCCGATGAAGGTCAGCATTACGGACGTACCAAGGTGCGTTCGCAGCTCGACGACAGAAAAGGTTTTGAACTATTTGGAGTTCATTAATAATTTTAGGGTTGGCGTGGGCAAAAACGGGGCCGGCGTAGGACATGACTGGTCGTATACAGACCTTATAAAGGGTACGCTTGTTTCTAAGGGACATTTTACTGTGTCGGTCCAACATACTGTTGAGCCTACTCAGATAAAACCGTGCGTGAAGGGTTACTCTTTTGACGTGGGGCTTGAAAGTGAGTCCTGTGTCTAGAGTGACACCTAAATATTTGGCGGTCGTATGCCAGGGGACAGGGGTCCCTAGCATACGTATTGGTGGAGTGTTTTTGAGACGGCGTCGTTTATAATCGAAGTGAACGGCGGAGCTCTTCTCCGGGTTCACATCGATGCGTCATTTTTTGAACCAAGCTCCTAGGTCATCAACTGACTTTTGGATCTTGTTCCGTATGAAGGGTTGTGAGATACATTTGCAGTAAATAGCAGTGTCGTCTGCGAAGAGGGAGAGCTGAACACCTTTCGACGGGATGGGAATGTCGTTAGTGAACAGGATGTACAGCAGAGGAGCAAGTGAACTGGTCTATCTGACAATGTCTATAAATAGATTTCGTTTCCTACTACGATCTTTGCGATTTGATGACATTCTCGTTCACACTCAAAGACAAGAAATTGATAAGCTAGCTGTCATACGGTGCTTTATTGAGAGTATGAGAAACCATTGCTTAGAATATTATACTCCAAGTGAACACATGACGTTGGATGAGCAACTCGTAGCATTTAGAGGTCGATGTGATTTTATTATGTACCTACTCAACAAACCAGCAAAATTTGGAATAAAAATATTTATGGTAGTGGACACAAAATGCCCGTATATTTACAACTTTGAAGTTAATTGAGCTGAACAACCAGAAGGCCCATTTCGTGTATCCAACAAAGTTGCAGACGTCACCAAAAGATTACTAGAGCCGCTTATAATTATGGGATGTAATGTTACGATGGATAACTGATTTAACAGTTATCCAGTGGCATTGCAGCTTTTGGAAAAAATAATTACTGTTGTCGGCACTCTCAAGAGTAACAAGCCAGAAATACTCACAAATTTCAAGACTAGTCAGGACCGACAAATAAATAGTTCTTCGTTTGGGTTTCAGAAAAAATGCACACTAGTCAGTTATGTGCCAAAAAGGAACAAAACGGTCTTATTATTGTCAACAATGTACCACGATGAAGCAATAGATGCTACTACCGACGACTCAAAAAAGCCTGAAATCGTAACTTTTTATAACCACACAAAGTGTGGGGTGGATATTGTGGACAGGATGTGTCGTCAATATGACGTATCTAGAAATCGTGGACGTTGGCCTCTTACATTATTTTTTAATTATTGAATATTGCCGCTATAAATGGCCTAGTTATTCATCAGTTGAATAATTTAAATGAAAACATCATCAGACGCATTTTTCTTCAGTCTTTGGGGTTTGAGCTTGTGAAACCATTAATTTTAGAACGATTTTATCAGGATAATGTTCCAGGAAGCATTAAAACAAAAGCCAAACTATTGTTGAACATTTCGGAAGCTCCTCAACAAGGAAATATACTAATTCGTGGTGAGGTTGCACGCTGTGCGTTTTGTAGCAGAATTCGCTATCGCAGCACCAGAAAAACTTGTTCAAAATGCTACAGGCGTATATGTACTGATCACCAAATTTTGATTGGTCCTTCATGTAACGAAAATTGAATTTTATTAAACCAAAAGTGATTGATCTTAAAGAAGTAAAAATTATGTGATTTTTTAAGAAGTCTGAAGTTTAGTCAATATTTTTTTGTTTAAGAAAGAGAAGATAATTTTTTTAAATTCAGTTTACCTAATAAATGTCATTAATAACATAAAATGTGTTTTATTTTAAAATAAAACCGTTATCTTTCATTATATTTAAATTTTAAATGGGCTACAAGTGTAGCCCAAGCGAGCACTCATGAACTTTTTCAGGCGCGTGTACCATTGTACACAACGTGTATACCGCTTGACTCCTAGATATTTTAATAATATTTTAGAATATAGCATACTATAGCCTTCGACCCGTGGCTTCGCTCGCGTGGAATTGGGTTACATCGCACATCCTATATTGTCCCACAGGAACATAATAATATCGGAGTAGCCTATATTACTCTATGCCCTTTCAGCTAACTCTATGCCAAAATTCAAGTCGATTCACTGCTTAGTTAGGGCGTGAAAGAAGGACATACAAACAAATAAACAAAAATTTTCGCATTTATAATATTAGTTGGAATTGCGTACTTATTGATCAAGTATAATTAATTTCATAAAACACCATAGTTTTCATGTTGTTATGTTGCTATGGACCCAAATTGCGATTGTATACTGTATATTATAATTTCAGGTAAAGTGAAAACACGCCCTCAACGTACGATATATTTACTCCCAAGACGATGATGAATATCAAAGTCGAGCTTCTAGAGATCCTTTATTCATACCGGAAAGTGAAGATGAAGAAGAAGACGAAGAGGACGAGGAATTAAGTGAACCAGAAGCAGGGGACATTGAGATTCTTTCTAATTTTATTGAAGAAGAAGTGGAAGTGTTGAGCGAACCTTCTACAGAACAAGGCCCTTCTACATCAACTAAGGGAAGAAAAGTAAAGTTGGTTTGGTCTGATGAAGGTATTCGGTACGATGAGTCCAATATTGCTTTTTTAGGATCTGAAGCACTTCCAGATGAAATAATGCAGTTAAAAAAGAATTTAAAAAACTGAACTCCTATTCCGTTTTTAAGTACTTTTTCCAATCGTCTGCTACAAATCTTATTGAAGAGGAGAGTAATTTATATGCATCTCAAATTTCAACCGAAAACTTGTATTGCGTATGTAATTATAAATGAAGATATCCACAAATTTATTGGAATTATAATTTACATGTCAATAGTCCACCTGCCAACTACACGTCATTATTGGAAAGAAGGCACATATATTGAAAAAGTGGCAAATGTGATGACATGCAACAAATTTGAAGAGACAAGAGGTTTTTACATTTTTTTGACAAAGCAAAAGAATTAAAACCAAATGACCAACACTTTGATAAAATTCAAAAAATACGACCCCCGACGAAGAATTTGTGGCTATTGATGAGCAAATGATCCCTACTAAAGCTAAAGCTTCAGGGATCCGACAATACAATGCTAAAAAAACCACACAAATGGGGCTATCTAAACTTTGTACTAAGCGGCGTCAGCGGATTTAGTTATGATTTTGAAGTATTCAGTGGTAAACATTATGGTCCGCTTGAAAACTGCCCTGACCTTGAGGCTCCTGGAAATGTTGTGCAAAGATTATTGGTATCTGTCGCTGACGACTTAAACCATAAAATATTCGTGGATAATTGGTATACAAGTTTACAATAAATGGCAAATTTGCACCGAAGAGGTCTATTGCCTTTAGGGACAATACAACTCAATAGAGTTTCTAACATTAACAAAAACAAGAAGTCTTTTTTTTTTTAGAAAACGAGGGTTTTGCCTTGAAAAGGCTACTGTTATTGATGATGTAAAGTTATCAGTAACCAATTGGGTAGATAATAAAATAGTAAGCCTGTGTTCTACCTATGTAGGCCAAAAACCCATGGAGAATGTGAAAAGGTATTCCAAAAACCATAAAGGCAAAATTAACGTACATTGCCCTAAAGCTATTAGTATTTATAATAAATCATGGGTGGAGTCGATTTGTTAGACGCCATGTTAGGCTTTTATAGAATAAAAAATATGCAGCAAAATGTGGTACCATACACTGTTTTTCCACTTTATCGATCTGACTTGTGTTAACAGTTGGCTGCTTTGGAGAAGAGCGATGAAACAGAATGGTGAGGGATTTTACATGCCGCTATTAGATTTTAAATTATATTTGGAAGACTTATATATACGTCTTGATGCGCCAAGATCCATAGGTATTTACACCAACCACACGAAAACGTGGACGTCCAGTGAATCAAGGTGCCGAGGCTATTAAAAAGGGAAAACGGCGACGACGCATAGAACTGCCTTCTACTCAAATCGCGGGCGATGGTTTCAACCACTGGCCCGAATGGAAAACGGATCGTCAACGCTGTAAATTGCAGGAATGCACACAAAAATACGTCACTGATTATCGATTTACTTATTTCATTAATAATCTGATCGTACTAATAATGATAAATTGTGAAAGGTTGAACGTTTCTTTGTTTCCCAATTACGACAAAAGTACTAAACTGATTTGGATGAAATTTGATGAATGTATTTCTTTTTATTCATACATATGTTCCTTAGGGAGTACGGTATTACCGAAATCCACGCGGGTGGAGCTACGGTTTAGTACAAATAATGAAAAAAAATCAATGCTGATACATAATATTGGAACTGTTAAACATAGCTACCATACTGCATAATGTTCCAAATATGGAACATATTTAGTTTAAGATCGTGAATTCATGGTGTTCTATATTTGGCACAAATGCTTACACTTATATGTCAAAAACATTAATCAGAAGTCTAAAATGTGATAATACGACGTAATTGCTTGTATATGTGCTCCCGGTGACGCCGATCCTCGTACGAAATAAGGTTGACAGCTATTTTATTGTATTCTATAGTATTCTATGTATAGAATCATCCTTGGATACCAATTAGGGTTTGGGTATTGTACTTCCGGGACTTTTCGTAATTTTAGTTGTCTCGAGTCCCGGGACTTTCGGGTCGAGACTCGAGACGAGACAAGATTGTCGAAATTGTTATGTAATTATTTTTATTTTCAAATAATTGAAGGAGCCTTGAGCCATCCGTTAGTTTAATGAATAATTACTTGATCTATTACGTAACTACTGAGCACACAACACAATGAATGCATTTGCCGTGCTGCCATCACGCTGCCATATCAGTTATTCCGTGACGTTTAGATTATGACTTTATATATTTGGATTGTGTCTATGTCAGTTCGGTCAGTCAGTCGTCAATTTCATTTATGATGTGAGTGTGGTGTGGTGCTTCTTTTGAACTCAGTTTATTACTGGATGTTAAAACAAGGTGGCGTTCCATCATTGTGATGGCGTAACGGTTTTTGAAGCTCAAAAATTGCGTGAAGAAAGCTTTTATTGATTTAAACATGTTAGACAATTGGAATGAAGACAATCTTCTTTTGTAGTCAATTGTTGATTTGTTGCAGCTAGTCAAGATAGCTGTGGAAGCTTTAGGTCGACAAAACAGTTCATTACTTACATCTGTAGCAGTAATTGACGAGTTGCTCAAAAAATTCAATCGACAATGACTAATAACGATTTGCCGAAGCGCTTCTTCGAAACTTTGAAAAAAAGTAAAGTAAAGTTACAGCCTATATACGTCCCACTGCTGGGCACAGGCCTCCTCTCATTTCTGAGAGGGTTTTAGGGCAAGAAATATTCCGCCGCGCTGCCCCAATGCGTGTTGGCGAACTTCACATGTCTTCGAAATTTTTTTGTTTCCTCACGATGTTTTCCTTCACCGCCGAGCACGTGGTAAATCAGCACTTAAAATTGCAATTAACAATTTCATTGGTGCCGGCGGGGATCGAATCCGGTTTGCTCGCGTATTGTGAAATTTACAGCGAGCGCTAACCATCTGAGCTACCACGGCTCTAAACTTTGAAAGTTTACCTAGAATAGAGAAGACCACAACGAGTTGTATGCTTGTTAAAATAATTGCACACTGGCCACCACAACTCACAGTCTCAAAACACAGACTTTTTTTACCTCGAATATTAGTAAAACTGCACTAATTGACTTTGCGGAAGAACTGTAACAATACAAAATAAAAATACAAAAGCAATAGGGATATTTTCGAAAATACTTTGTAGGCTTCGAAAATATGTGTAGAATTCGGACACTAGATGTGGAAATAATGGGCGCTGAACCTAGTACTAGTAGTTTTCAAGTACACAACAAGCCTGACGAGTATTTTGTAAAAACAAATGTCTCATGTATTTTGTAAAATCAATAAAAAATATCCAAGAAAATGTACCCGAAATTCTGGAAAAAAGAGCAACATTAAAAAAGGAGTTTCAGTTGTTTAACCTTTTGAGCGCCAAAGTCGTCTATACGTGACCAGCACCCGCGTGCCCTGAGCGCCAACGACGTCTATAGATGACAAAAAAACCCGGCCCACAAAAATATGAAATATAGACATTGGAAAATTATTACTGGTATTTTAATTCTACACCCCTCAAAAAAGAATAACCCAGCAACATGTGAGTATAAAAAACAAGTCTTCTAGAGCCACAAGTACTAAGAAACATTGAACTAAAAAAAATGGATTTTTATCTAAGCAAATACTATGTCCAGCACGCCAAAGTCGTCTATGTTAGACCGCTAGTGTTGTAATGCGTTAGCCATAAATTTATTGAAAACTATTCAAAATTAAGCTCAAACGTGTTATTTTTTTCTATTATTATTGATATTTAAATAAAACAAAAGGTTAGAAATATAAAACTATAATTAGCTACATGAATTTAAAAAAAAATAACAAATTATCTTCGCATAATAAATCTAATATCTCAACTCTGGCGCATCCTTAGCGCGACATCGAAAATCAGTTCACTGGGCGCCGTGGTCAAGTATAGACGACACACTGATGACGTCATAAGCGATTAGCGGGAAAATTAGTGCAGTGCAACATGAACGATTCCTCAGAACTCATTCGGATTTTGGAAAGCGTCGACGATGATGAATTTTCGGAAATTTAAAATTATCGTGAAACCAAAGTTTTTCGTTTTCGATTAACTCTACCTCAATGAGGTAGGAATACACTTTATAGTCTTTTTACGGTTAATTTCTTTTTTTATAGCATAGGGTAATAAACGAGAGAGTCCACCTGATGGCAAGTGGTTGCTGTGGCCCATAGACATTTACATCTATCCTCGATTACGAATCAAAATGCAGATGCGCTTTCACCCGTGAGGACTTAGATGGAATGCCTCGTTTCCAGTAAAGAGGGTCTCCGGTTCTCTACACTCACCATACGAAACACAGCAGCATTAAGCTACTATTTGATGCCGATATTCCGTGAGAGCGTGGTTCTTCCCCGGTTGAGCCGACCCATTCGTGCTACAACTACTAACTCCCGTAATATAACTGCAGCATGGCTCTACCACGTTAGAAAATTTGCTTTGGCCAGCTAAACATATATGTTTTATTATTCCATAAGATTTTTATTATTTTAAGACTAATATTACCTATAATTTATTAATTATTTTTAATTGTTGTTTTCTATATTAAGTACTGATTGAGTTAAAGACCAAGATTTTAATATTTTATGACTAGACCTAGTGCAAATAATTATTTACAATTGTTGAATAATTATGTACCCTTTGTTGATTTCTGTAATAAGTACTGATTTTTTTATTCCATGACCAAGATTTTAATATTATAAGACTGATTTTTCTAGTGCGAATAATTACCTATATACAGTTGTTGATTAGTGAATAATTACGTACCTTTTCTATTTTAATAATATAAAATTACAAATAATAAATGTGTTTTCTTTACTTAAGGTATGAAGAGCAATTTTCATTTTGTGTTGTGCGATTTTCTTTCTCAATCTCAAAATCATTTAGCAACATCAGTATCATATGAAACCCCCTTTATCATAAGAGCGTAAGACTTTTCTTCTGTGATTCACTTGTCACACACTACGCCTTGCCATAAAATATTTTGAATAGATGTCTGTATATTTTGGTTACATCGATTTTGAAATCGATACACAACGTGCGACACGGCTACATCTCTAAGAAAGTTTCAAAAAGAAAGGTCAGCTACGCCGTTGTCGTCCAGTCGTGACAGTGACGTCATCACGACGGAGAGTAGTGTTGTGGTTTACTACTATTTTATTGTTATTGTTTGTTTTTTATTTATGTACAAAGTACATATATAAAAAGAGTGGAAGACAGCACAAGATTAAATAAAACATACCCGATTATAAAGACTCATTTATTGTATAAAAAACCAACAAAAACAAGTTATTTTGTGTTATCGATATATCAACTCTTGGCAGCACTGTTTTTTTTCGTAGGTATTTTTGTTTACTTTTCGCTTTGGCGTACAGGACACGGTAGTGAGTTTTTGGCGTGGCGCTCAAAAGGTTAAAGCAACCGGAAAACGTACCGAAAATTTGGAACTATGTACTGTATAAAGTTATAAAACACAATTAAACCGACATCTGTTGAAAACGAGAGGGTGTTCTCCTTGTCCGGTGACATTATTACAAAAATCAGAAACAGATTGTCTATTTTATTAAATTAGCAAAGAAGTCTAATTATTGTGTTAGTTGATTATTTAAAATACTGATTTATAAGTGTGGTTTATTATTTATATTATTTAGATTATTTAATTATATAATAAATCTGTGATTATGAGATTTAACAATGTTGTGATTACGACCTATGATTAGATACTAGAATTACTAGATAAAAGTAAAGTTATTAAGAATTAGTATATTTTCTTTAAAAAATGCTTACCCCTCTTAAAAAAATTGTTCTTAAAGTCTTTCTAAAAGTAATTCTTCTTAAGTCTCGAGGTCCCGGGACTTCCCGGGACTTTGATTGTAGGCTGTCTCGTGTCCCGGGACTTTGAAATTGTCGGGAATTCCCAAACCCTAATACCAATCAAATAGCTTTATTTATACATTTACGTTTGCAACCAGAATTAATTTCAACAAGTATGTAATGATTTTGCTAATTTTTTTTATAGAAGAACGAGCATGCGGCTCACCTGATGGTAAGTGACTACCGCCGCCCATGATCAACCGCAACACCAGGGGAATCGAATCGGTCCGGAAAAATCGCCGGTGGTAAACAATTCCACAGAGAAATCGTACGAGGAAGAAAACTCCTAGTAAAACGCACAGTGGTAGACCGCCAAGCAACCAGATGGTGAGGATAGTATCGTGAATTTTGACGCGATGTGCGTTCGTGAAATTTGGCGGCTGGAACTAATCCGAACAATTCCTCAGAACACTCCCCGTGGTAGATAAGATAGAAAACGCAAAGGGAAATAAATATTCTATACTGTGCAATCTAAACCTGCAGTTAAAAAACCTAAAGTCAACAGACGTTCAAAGAATACGAAGCCTATCGTTTTGGACGATGACAATAATCTCGAGAAAGTAAATAGCATAGAACCCAAGTCCGTGCCTAAAAAACGCAGGTCTACGAGGATTCGAATTCAAAAAACTCTGATCAAGACACATTTATAAATATAGGTAAGTTACTGATCTGACATGGCTATTTTTATTTTGAATAGAATAATTTTTTATTCAATATAAATTACAAGTAATTCTTATCGAAATTCCATATTTTACGTAACTGGGAAAAAAAACCTCTGTCCTATGAAGAACCAGCAAGAAACCCAGCGGGACTTTTTTAAATAATATTTACGTTAAGGGTCACTAAATATTTACAAAATTTATTTTAGAAACAGCTCGGAAACGACCACCTCATTCCCAGGAGTTATTATCAACCATGTATTCATTTATATCATAATAGTACTATGATATAGTTTTTGTTTAATTAAATATTTAAACTTGGTAATAGAGAGACCTTGTATATTTTCTGGGACTTTGTTGCAATAGCGTATACCTTGCCCCAAGAATGAATTACTGACACTGTGGAGTCGAGAAACTGGTAGCACTAGCTTGTGTTTGTATATTTATCTTAAAACAAAAATATGTCATCTTAAGCAAAATTCCCCTGATTGTTGATTGTTGCAAAAATGCATCGGCTCGAACGGGGCGGGACCACGCTCTCACAGAATACCAGCGTGAAATAGCAGCTTATTCTGTGAGAGCCGGAGACCCTTTTTACTGGAAACGAGGCATTCCATCTTAGTCCTCACGGGTGATAACGCATTTGCATTTTGATTCGTAATCAAGGATAGATGTAGATGTCTATGGATCACAGCATCCACCTACCATCAGGTGGACTGTGTGCTCGTTTGTCACTCTATCCTATAAAAAAATGTAAACTGATTTTGATGGTTATTTTGTTAAAGTTTAATATTACCCACGTCTGTTAATGCGATCGTTAATCATTCCTACAACGGGAGAGATCTATATGCAGAAGTAAACTTAAATGGAGTTATGAAGAAGAGGATATAGTATTATAACATAAGCTTTTCCAATATCCCAGCTTTAACAATATTTTAAATATGCTCGAATCATATGTTTAGTTGTTGCTAGGCAATGATGTCATTAGAAGCTGAAATTTCCAGTGATTATGATTTTTTTTAATAGTGCAAAGTTGACAAACGAGCATACAGTCCGTCTGATGGTTAGAGCTTGCTGTGGCCTACAGACATCTACATCTATCCTCGATTATGAATCAAAATGCAGATGCGTTGTCACCTCTGAGGACTAAGATGGAATACTCGTTTCCAGTAAAAAAAGGCTCTCCAGTTCTCCACACTCACCATACGAAACACAGCAGCATTAAGCTGCTATTTTACGCTGATATTCTGTTAAAACGTGGTTCTACCCCGGTCGAGTAGACACATTCGTGCTACAACTATGATATAGCTCCAGCGTGGCTCTACCACATACAAAGTGCAACATCTATCATAATATCTAAATATGTAACATTGTTTTGGACCACAAAAAACAATTGTTGGGACCGACGTGGTGTAAGAATATCCGCTGCCCCATATTATCCTGTGGGTGTCGTAAGTGGCAACAAAACTAAAAGATGGGCACCAGAGTCTACCGAACTGGTAACTATGCAAATATGTATTATATTCTTACTTTGTATGCAATATATTGTGGTGGACTGCCTCGTTGGTCTAGTGGTTGTAGTAGTGCGACTGCTGATCATGAGGTCCTGGGTTCGAATTATTGAGTTTTTCTGTCAAGAAATTCTCAGTAGTTGCCTAGAGTCAGGAAGTTGGCGGTGTCTCACCCCCTTGCCTCGGAAAGCACGTAAAGCCGTTGGTCCTGCGCCTGTTCTCTCTCCGGTCGTGTCGGTTTACCGTCCCATCGGATTATGAGAGTGAGGCAATAGAGAGTGCACCTGTGCTTGCGCATACACTTGGGCACTATAATCCTGTCCTGCGCCGATGCCTAGCCTCCGTTGAGGCAGGCCGTCGTGGCCGAAATTCGGTCTGGAGGACATTATATTGTGGTATATTCTTACACCTCCAGTGCACGGTAAAAATAAGGGAAAATGAAATAAATCCTGTTCGTGTATTCTTTATTCTGTTTTGTGTGTGTGACGTCATTGCTTGGAGCGTCTCGTCGGTTCGCTGGCGGTCGGCGGGGGAGGGGGCCCCTTCTTGTGTAGTTCCTCCAGGTACGCCATGATGATCTGCAGCCGCTCATCGGGCGCGTGCTCCAGTGCTCCATACCTGCGTATATTTTAAAGCCCATGGTAAGAAAGTTCAAAACGAAGTACCAAGTAAATTGTTAGTTACAATTTTAAATTATTTACCCCACGTTGTCGACGATATTACGGTATATATATTTAACGTGATAGAGCCACGCTGCAGCTATATTAATTGTATAGTTGTAGCACGAATGGGTCGGCTCGACCGGGGAAGGACCACGCTCTCACAGAATACCAGCGTCAACTAGCAGCTTAATGCTGCTGTGTTTCGTATGGTGAGTGTAGAGATCCGGAGACCCTTTTTACTGGAAAAAAGGCATTTCATCTTGGTCCTCAGGGCTGACAGCGCATCTGCATTACGATTCGCAAACGAGGATGAATGTAGATGTCTATGGGCCACAGCGGCCACTTACCATCGGGTGGACTGTGTGCTCGCTAGTCACCTTTTCATATAAAAAAATATTACAGCGTAATGAAACCTGCATTTTAATAGAATAAGGGTGACAAATAACCACAATATCCTGGTGGTAAGTGGATGCTGTTGCCTATAGACACCTATATCTATCTTCGATTAAGACTCCAAATGCAGATGCGTTATCGCTCCTGTGGACTAAGATGACACATTCGTACTACAACCATAATATAGCTCCGACTCGGACAGGGTAGAACCATGCTCTCATAGAATACCAGCTCAATGCTGTTGTGTTTCGTGTAATTAGTGTAGGGAATTGGAGACCCTTTTTACTGGATACTAGGCATTCCATCTAAGTCCTCAGTGATTATATTTCTTACCCTTATTCTATAAAAAGAAAGGTTAAAAACTACATAGCGATGTAATTGTACGCTAATATTTATTTAGTTTTATTTATTTACTCTTTATTGCACACCATAATACAAAAACATTGAATACAGTTAAATCTAAAATAGAAATGTAATAATGATTTCTTATATTTACGAACACTACATATTGAAATAATATTTTTACGGTGTACAACAGGCGGTCTTTTACGGAACTGGGGTTATCACTCTGAAAGTGTTTTCTTCCAGACAATATTTGCGTAGAGAACAATAGTTAAAATAGAGGGGGGGCGTACAAAATAATAACAAAAATACGAAAATATATACAAATAAAGATAAGTGAAAATTATATATAAAATATCATATAATAGTTTGAATGAAAGATTACGAGAAAGGAAAAGTAAGTTATCTTATAGCGTTGTAAGTAATACGATTTAACAAGACTTTTTAAAAGGTGAAGAGATTTTGCACGACGAATATGGAGAGGTAAAGAGTTCCACTAACGCACAGCAGTTACGGTAAAGTCTTTCTTTAATAAGGAGGAAGAGTGCAAAGGAGTAGAGAGAGAAAGATTGACAGAGGATCGAAGGAACCGATTATGGGTAAGGGAGATACTGAAAACGGTCTTTTAAATAATGAGGAGTGGAAGGATTAAACAGCACGCTATACAATGCGGAGAGAATGTTAATATTCTTGCGAAGGCAAATCGGGAGCCACTTGAGCTGTTTGCGAAATTCGGAGATATGAAATCTAACACATAAATTTTGAATGCGCTCAAGCTTATTAAGTTGCTCCTCGGTAGTGTCAAGATAGTAAATATCAGTGTTACAGCTCTCAGTTACCCCGACAAAAGTCGACTGGACTAGGGCCCATAGTAATCCAACTCGACGAGCAACCGAGGGGAGGGCCCAATGGCCTATGGATAATTAATTTATAACGGCTGTATAAGCAAACACAAACTTACCGAATTCCGGAAATAGGGTCGACCACAAGGCGCCGTCAGGGGCAAGTAAATGATATGTGTGAGTGGTGTAGGAAAGTGTATAATGTAACCTGACGTCACCGATGCAATCGTTCAGCAGCGCCGCATGCGTTAACCGCTCCACACACAAGGCGCTCACCGCAATCGGAACTTAAGTGACTTAGCACAAACTATAATCGAAGATAACGCTATCTCCTTTAGTTAAAGTCCAAAGTTTAGTGTTCCACACGAAAAATCAAAATTCCTTCGTACGATATTAACTACACAAGCCACTCGTCGAGGCAAATTAATAATAGCAATCGAAGTTAAAATAGTCTCTCAAAACTCAAAAAAAGAAAGCCTCGTTGTCACGTATATTAACGAAATAAAACAATACAATAGAGGCCGTCGTGATGCGACGTAGCAATTCTTATCAAAACTCGCGACCTCTAATCGACACGGCTCGCTCACTAAGATTCTTCTAGACTAATCTCGCGACCCCCACCGGCACGGACGCAGCGCTCAAAGATTCTACCAGAATGAGCTCGCTGGCAGCGCCGTATTCGCATAGCGGGCACCCCCTCCCGCGCAACGCTAACCAGTTCCCCGCTCGGAACTAGCGCCTTGCAATATGGCGTAAACAATCAGCATAGTCAAGGATAGGCAGAAGTAGAGACTGGGCGAGCGAGTGTACGAGTGTACGAGTGCACGATTGTACGAGTGTACGTGTACGAGTGTGCGAGTGCGCGAGTGGACGAGTGCGCGAGTGTGCGAGTGTACGAATGTGCGAGGGTACGAGTGTACGAGGGTACGAGTGCATGAGCGTACGAGTGTACGAGTGCACGAGTGTACGAGTGCACGAGTTCACGAGCGTACGATTGTACGAGTGTACGGGTACGAGTGTACGAGTGTACGTGTGTATGAGTACGAGTGTACGTGTACGAGTGCACAAGTGTACGAGTGTACGAGTGCATGAGTGTACGATTGTACGAGTGTACGAGTGCATGAGTGTACGATTGTACAAGTGTACGAGTGCACGTGTACGAGTGTACGAGTGTGCGAGTGCGCGGGTGTGCGAGTGTGCGAGTGTACGTGTACGAGTGTGCATGTGAGCGAGTGCGCGAGCGTGCGAGTGCGCGAGCGAGTGTACGAGCGTACGAGTGCACGAGTGCAAGAGCGTACGAGTGTACGGGTGCACGAGCGTACAGAGTGCACGAGTGTACGAGTGAACGTGCACGAGTGTACGAGTGTGCGAGTGTACGAGTGTATGAGTGTGCGAGTGTACGAGTGTGCGAGAGCGCGGGTGTGCGAGTGTGCGAGTGTACGAATGTGCGAGTGTACGAGCGTACGAGTGCACGAGCGTACGAGTGCACGAGCGTACGAGTGCACGAGCGTACGAGTGCACGAGTGCAAGAACGTACGAGTATACGAGTGCACGAGCGTACGAGTGTACAGAGTGCACGAGTGTACGAGTGTACGTGTACGATTGCACGAGTGTACGAGTGTACGCTGTGTGTTGTCTGTCACCCGGTTGCCTCACCTTGCGTCGTGCTGCAACGAGTCCTGTATGGTCTGTAGCGCTGCGTTGTTTTCCTTGACGGCGGTCAAGCTGCGGTGAGTTATACTCCGGCTCTCCATTAACAGTTGCCGTAACGCTGTCTTCGCTGCACTCTGCTTATCCCGCTGGTAGTCACGGAATTCGCGTTCCATCTGTTTACGGGTATTAATTTTTTTATTTATTTTTTCCGCCTTTGGACAAAAGCATACCCTAATTCCTTAACTAATTTCTTTTAACACTATTTTATCTCTCTATTTTAGCACTAACGATCTGCGATATGAAGAATATTATCATTAGAGAGATAAATTTTACAATCAGCTATGATCTTTCACATCAGCCGAGCGTCCCGTGACGGCCAAATGACCGTCATCGAACGAGTCACCATATCATCGGGGAAGGATCACGCTCCCGCCGAATGAATGAGTGAAATACGAGTTTTACTGGAAATAACGTCTTCAGGGGTGACGAAAAGCATCTGCATGTTGATTCTTAACTGAGGATAGATGTAGATGTCTATGGGCCACAGCATCCACTTACCATCACGTGAAGTGTGTGCTCATATGTCGTTTTTTTCTTTTTTCATTTTATTAACTTAATACAGGGTTGGTAATGTTATTTTTATAGGATAAACGAGCACACAGTCCACCTGATGGTAAGTGGTTGCTGCGGCCCATAGACATCTACATCTATTCTCGATTACAAATCAAAATGCAGATGCATTGTCACCCGTGAGGACTAAGATGGAATGCCTCGTTTCCAGTAAAAAAGGGTCTCCGGTTCTCTACGCTCACCATACGAAACACATTCATTCAGGCATTCTGTGAGAGCGTGATCCTTTCCCGGTCGAGCCGACCCATTCGTGCTACAACTACGTTTCTTTTACGTGGTAGAGCCATGCTGCAGTTACATCAGTAGTAGTGATTAAATAATAATAATATATCTAGATGTAGTTACTAGTGAAGCGCTGGAGTACGCCGGCGCTGTGGGCTGCTGCTGCAGCTGCTCCTTGACATCCCGCCAGCGCGCCGTGCACGACACGCCCAGCTCCGTGAGCAAGGCGCGTAGCTTGTCGCGCCGCTTGCTCGCCAGCGTGCTCGTGTGCTGGGAGAACAGACGCTCCTGGAGGAGAGGGGGGGGGGGGTGTAAAATATTGTTGGACGAGAATGTTACCAAAGGTAAGCCAATGTTTTCTGTCAAGTTAATAAAATATGTAGGCGTATGAATAGACAACGCTTAAACTTTTTTTTTGAGATGGGGCTAACGAGCATGCGGCTTACGTAATGGTTAGTGAATACCCCCGTCCATGAACAACTGCAACACCATGGAAATGGCAGTTGCGTTGTTGGCCGTTTAATCATAAATTAAGAAAATATTGATAAAAGAAATACTAGTGCAAGCAAAACGAAACCTTAGGTATGCAAACAAGAAGCTTTTTCTCCTTTGGACATATTGGGTGCGTTTGGCAGAAACAAGCCCTAGGAAGCGCTTGTAAGCAAAATGGCGAAACTAAACAGTTTTCGGCCAGGACACGTTTGCTAACTTCAGTAGCGCTGACACAATCCGCCATTTTGCTTATTTAATTTGTTTGTTTTGAAGTAGAGTTTATAAGTAAGTTGTTTTGAGCAATATTAGTTTTAAGTAATATAATGACATGAATAAACATGTTATTAAAAATTCACGATTGGTAAGTTTTTAATATGAATACTTTACAAACATATATTTAAATTAGGTTAGGTTCCCCGGTCACAGAATAAATAATAGTACTACGTACAGAAGTTGCACTCCTTTGATGTCGACTGCTTACCGACGTTTAATAGCCTACATAATTATTATTAATCAGATAAATCGCACACGCCAGCTAAATAAAACTTTATCGCTGCGCGCTAGTGTCCATATTACTTTGCATCTTTTTTGTCACGGCGGACTTTCCGTGGTTATTAAGGGAATGTCAATAGAAAGTAAAAAAATACATTGCGAAATGTTAATAATGTTACTTAGCACGTTAACTGCCATGTCAGGCACCGGTGCTTGACAGACATGGCACCTGTTAAGGCCATGTCAGTCCCGGGTGACTGACGCCACAGTATATAATTTAGATGATCTCCGGGAGCTGTCTGGCACGTTTAGCTCGTTATTATCTATTAAAATTGACTGACAAGGCCCTGGAAAAACTATGTTCAACTTGGCCTAACGTTTTTATATTTAGTACTGGATTTATTTAGCTTTTATTGGGAAAAATAAAATGCGACACAATGAAACTATAAAAACTTTTTATTGTTCGAAATAATCATATTTTGGGCTTATACAGCTTAGAAAATTATAAAAAAAAATGCAATTTAGAGTAATGAAATGCAATAATCAGTCAAGGAGTCCAAGGGAAAGTTACATTGTTTTATGTTCTCGTTGAAACAAGATAGGCAAAAATGTGGTTCTTTAGGGCATTGTGGGCAATAAGTATTCACTTGCTTAGTCTTCTTTCTAGCATAATTTCTGTCTATTGTTTGAACATTTACTTTATAACACCGTGAACAGTACTTTCTAGATTTTTTTACAGGTCCTTCTTTCTTTTTTAGCTCATGCTTTTGCCTCCTATTTCTTGTCAATGGCATGTCAGGATTACTGTTTTCTTTGCCCGACTCTGTTAGATTTTTGCACAACTTTTTCCTATATTCTACTATCCCTATTTTAGACATCGTGGTTTCTTTATAAATTATGTAAAAATTGAGTAATGCAATGTTCAACAACAGTTCAACACCAAGTTTTCTGTACCATTTTACACTTTTTCTCAAATGTGTTGAGTATGCGATCATCTGATCAGATAGGTCTACAGAAGATTTTGCGTTGTTATAATCGACTACAATTTTCGGTTTTATTATTTCTTTGTCTCTTTTGCAAGTCCTTGTATATCCAATAGAATGTTTCGTAGACAGTAAATAAGCATCCCTTTTATCCTTCCATTTCATACATGTCATATCATCTTCATTTTCTTTAGCTCTAAACTCTCCTTTTTTTATCTTTCCGTTTATAACATCTTTAGGCAAATATTTTCTATTTTTACGTAAAGTGCCCACAAGATGAGTTTCTTTGTGCAACAATTTGCGTCCAAGATCAATACTGGTATACCAGTTATCGGTATATAATGATGACCTTTTTGAAGATATCCTTCCATAAGTGACATCACAACATTGGTTGGGGTTGTAGTTTCGGTCTCACTTCTCTTTCCCGCACATATTTGAATTCTGTTAGTGTAGCCTGGATTAGTACATAATTTAAAAAATTTAATTCCATATTTGTGCCTCTTCAATTTGATTTATTGTCGGAATATAATGCGACCCCGAAATGGTACCAGAGACTCATCAATACAGAGATTTTCTTGAGGATAGTAATATGTTTCAAAGTTGAGATTCAAAGTATTTACCAATTCACGTATTTTGAACAGACGGTCGCCATATCTTTGGTTATCATTGTTAGAAAAATGTACCATTCGTAACAAAATTTCAAACCTGTTACGAGACATAACCGTACGCGGGAAAGATTCAACAAATCAGGGGGTCTGTTGACCAATAATCAGCTAGCTTAGGCAATCTAACTATGCCCATATATAAAATCAAACCAAAAAAACTTTTGATTTCGTCTTGGTTTGTATCAGACCAACTAAGCAGTCGCGATCCTCGTTTTATTTGATTTTTTTGAACTAAGTTTAGTAATTGTCTGAGCAGCAAATCGGTTGGTTTCCATAGCTATATCATGAAACACACTATCCGGAACTAACAAAGAATAAAAATCCTCTGGTTTGGATTTTGCCATCGTATTTCTCAAACTATAAGGTTTCAAACCAGGGCACTCTGTGAAAGGTATAGTTCTTCTTTGCTTACCCGCTGGTTCATACCATAAATCGCTCTCAATCCTTGTGCTAACCTGCTGTTCTGGGTTTTCATCTTCGTCACCACTTTCTATCACATACCGCCTCTTTCTGTTTTCTCGCCTATGCAAAATTACTTCTGTATCGTCACATATTTCACTACAACATGGAATTTCTAAAAGCGGGGAATCTCTTTGTCAGTTGTTTTTCTAGTTCGTAAATTGCTTGCAGATCTACCAACGATAATTCAAAATCACACATATTATCAATAATGGACATGATTACAATAGCTATCGTCACACAAAATCTCCAAAAACACAAAAAAAACTAGAGCAATGGGTGCGTGCACTTACGCAGATAATTCGAAGCGACTAAATAAACACTCTAGGTAAACATCCCATGGCACGCGCCGGACGGGTTGCAACCTGCAAGGAATGAAATACGACACGCGTAGGTACTTTTGTTCAAACGGCCGAGCGCCGCACCGAGTGATTTCCCGCGCAAATAAATTGACGGCCGGCGGACGGTGCCTGACAAAATACTTGACATGGCCCAATAGCTATGTTTTGTTTCGTTTGGGCCTCCTCAGGCACATATGCCAGACATTTTATTTTTTTGCTTTATTTTACATTATAATCACCGGAAACAAATTAAAATAGTCATATAATGTGATTTACTTGAATATACAACCAAAAAACAAAAATAAAAAAAAACGTCATCAAAATTTTACTATGACAGTTAACGTGTTAGGTGAAGTACTAACTAATATTCTGACTATGATTGAACCATACTTTCGCCCACATGTGAGTTCTGCGATGCCTAACGCATGCAAATTGCAAGGTCATTCGTCGGGAATCGTAATGCCCCATTTACATTCAGCCCGTTTGGGCAGGGAAGTGAGCAGGGCAGTGAGCAGGGCAGTATGTAAACAGGCTACTCGCGCTGACACTGCCGCTGCCGCTGACACTGCCCGAAATGTCGGTTTTTCGCGCGGAAGTCAAAGGACGAGCAGCGCGAGCGGCAGTGTGTGTTCACATTCAGCTCCATCGCTCACTTCGCGACAAGCGCCTGGATGAACGGACGTGCGTGCCGTCCTGTTATTAAATAAATACGATCTGCCAAAATGCCTTTCAAGTGGATTTAATGAAAATACAATAAAGTTTTTAGAACTGCTGGAATCAGAAAAAACTATATGGGATTTCAACGATAAAAACCACAATTCATCATCTTCTACGAATACGAATTTTCTTTTTGAGTTAACATAGTACCTATGTACATAATTAATTATAAATTCGTCAAATTTATTATATTAATATAAAATTTAGTTTAAGGAATTAATGAACATTGACATTTTATTTCTAAAAACGATTAGTAACTCATATTGATTATTTATTAATTAAAATGTAAAATAAGTTAAAAAGTAATATTTGCATAATTGCCTGAGATTTTTAAATTATAATTTTATTGTAATTAAAATTACGAATTAGTTTATACTGAAGTGTAATTAATAAAATAATAATAGCTTAACTAATCTCATATAATATTTAATATTATTTATGTAACAATAATATAATAATTCAATTAATAATTTATGAACAATTTACTGTATAAGAATTCAAATAGAGTGGATCTGTATAAGTATTTAATTGTACATAATATTTGAATTCAAAAAGAATGTGTGTACCTAACTTTTAAGCAACATCGGGTTTGTGTAATTAGCTGTATTTCATATCATTTTTCCATGCCAATTATGGCAAAACATGTCAGTTCCACGTCATTGATCATCTTATGTACCATGTTTTTAAGCAAATAAATTTTCTATCTATCTATCTATCTTCTTTTGAACTTGATATCTTTTTAAATTATTAACATAATTTTGTATTGCAAGAAGACACAGCGCGGACGCTGTAATTATTTCGACGTCCGCCATAGTCGAAAGCCGAAAGCGATGTGAGTGGTAGGGCAGAGTGTGAATACACACTTCCCGCGATCCTGCTACGGCAGTATTTAGGGAAGTATTGCCGGCAGCGCGAGGAGCAGTGGCAGTGGCTGAATGTAAATGGGGCTTAACGCTTGGGAGAAATAGGTAGATAGTGTAAACAACAAATAAACCTGAAATACGATTTCGAACAGAAATGTGATCTATCTATTTAGTTAAAAATCGTGTACAAAGTTTTAATTTCAGTATTTTGTGTTAGTATAACTCAAAATATTTTAATTAAAGACAGTATAGGTTGTTTGGATAGTGAAGTAAATT